GGTTTTGATCTGATACCACGTGAAAACCCATTGACACGTTTCAGATCTCACCGCCGACTTCGCGCACCAAGTCAACGATGCGAGTGTTCTTTGTTGTTTATTTTAAAAAAAAAGGTTTTAATTGCCGTGCGGGGAAACTCACCGCCGCTATTATCGCAACGCGCGTCAACGTTACCACTGCGGATATTTAAACAGTAAACATCGCGCGCGCGCGTTTGGGCGGAGACGAATCGCCCTAACAACGATGACAAGCGAACAAACTTGGTCATGTTATTAACGTTCGTCGGAAGCCTTAATAAGAGTTCGCGACGGCTGAGGAGGAGCATGCAGGGGCTACTATTGCGTCGCGTGATTATCGAGCGACCTTTTTTCTTTTAAGAAAAACGCCGACTTTGCGTCATTGACTTTGTGTCATTGACTCAAAGACGAGGTCGGTGTTTTCGTTGGGCACGAGACAGTAATTTAAAGCCTTCCCCTCCCCCAACACCAAAACAATCGCCATTCGCCACGAAGTGACGGTTATGTCACCACGGCGCCTGTGCCAGGCTAGGTGCACTTTAAGGCCACGTGAAGCGTCGAAGGCTCGCTGGCAGGAGGTCTCGGGAACAGAGCCAGCAGGTGCCATGGGTTGGCTGACTGAGATTCACCTCCCTCACCCGCCTCTACACCCGTCCCCCTCACCCCCTCTCTTCCCCCCACCCCATGCCCACCACTGAGACATTCTACCCACACCAACTACCCGAAGCTTGTGCAAGAACACAATCGCGAACACAAATAAGCACGGCTTGGGGAAAGCAGCCTTGCAATGGAGAAACGCGAAATTGAAATCTGAAATGCTTTCAGAGTAGGCGGGTTCGCGACATCAAGTGTCCTGTAAATTGCACTCTCAAGGGGGCTGTTGTTTGTTGATGTTGTTGCCGCTTCTTTGGATGTCCCTGCGTCGTATGCGCCATGAGTTGTGAGGTTTGCCACGACGGCACTCCGGTGGGGTGTAAGGAAGGGGGTGAGATGCGAACGCATGCCTTCGTTTTATTATTATTATTTACACGCTTTTATTTAACTCACTGTCTGTTGCATCCTCAAATCTTGTAACTCAATTTTAACCCACTTCCCAATGTCGTATCGACTGCAAACTTGGTATACGTATGTCATGTTGATGACAATACTATATTGTATCATTAAAATAAGACATTTTTTTTAAAGCTAATTGTCCACGCTCAACTGACGTTGGCTGTAAATCACCACGGTCCCCTTACGTTATGGCAAGAAGCTTCGGCGGACACTTCCTGGAGTCGGAGTTTCTGCCGTTACTCGCACGGTACATTTAATTAAAGCGTGTTTAAAAAAAAAGCATTTTTAAATATTACTTATTTACCCGCACGCGCGCGCGCACGCACGCACGCGCCTCTTGGCGCAACGTCGAGAGGAGCCGGCCTCCCTTCTGTGCAGGATTCCGCCGAACGCTTCCCCCGCTGCCGCGGCGGCGTCTGCGGCACGAGGTTTGTCGCGAGGCGATGTCTTTGTTTTCCCCTTTCGATCGGCGAGCCATCGCACTCCCCTCGCTGTGTGTGCGCAGTACGTTGAACTTCTCTCGCACCGTACGCAGCCAACCGTGCCAATCGGAGGTGGTGGCGGCGGCGGCGGGCATCAAAACTGAACACCGTTGTATAAGCACAGTGTCACCTCGACTGTGCAGACGCAGTTTACACATAATTCACGCATTACGCTTCCCGCTTTTATTATACAGTGAAACCTTGGATTGCGTTTCCGGAACGAATAATGCTCGCAATCCAAGGTTCCACTGTAATTAGTTTGTTTTATTATCCCCTCCATCCCCAGTGAAGTTAGAGAGCAGTGGTGCAGTGATTAGCAAGCACAGGAGCTGGGGTCTGGGGCGGACACCTTTCCACCCGATACCCCTCCGTGTAAATTTGTCTGACAATTGCCCCGTCACGACCATCAGTCGCGAGCTGTCGCCTTATAAGGGAAATTGAGTCGTCGGTCGCAGTCGTGGCCAATGCTTACAGAACGAACCTCGTCGCTTAACATTAACTTCATTTGATTGGCTCGAGCAGTGGGTCTTAAACCTCTACTGCGGCCTCGCACCCCTTTGGTTCTCAATCGTAAAACCAAAAAATGCGTAATGTTTGATGAAATAAAGTGAGCTGTTACTTACGTGCCCGTGTTTAATTTGTATTTTCGATTATTTACATTCTAAGAAAAAAATCTGCCCATGTCTCGCACCCCCAGGGGGTGCGTGCACACCAACTTAAGAATCAAACGGGCTTGAACAAAAGGTGAAGGTGAAACAAGGTGTCACGATAATACTCTCGCTTTCGCCCAGAAACGATCAGCGATGAGCCACTTTGATTATCGGTGACTCGCGTCATTAAAGCACCCACAGACGACCACTCGGCTGCCCGCCGTCCAACCTCTGGAATATGTTTGATTCCTTCACGTGATGCGGTGATTTTTTTGTGTTGTTCCGATCGCCATTTGCTTCTTCGTTGCTGTTGTTTTTGATTGTCTTTTTTTTAGGTAACCCAGGTCGACACTCTTGAGACTCTATCCCGGTCTCTACTGCGAGTTCTCAGCTGGTTACACAAAATGAAACCTGACCCTATGGTTACGGCGGTGCTGCTCTGTTTTCTAGAGATTGGACAGCGAAACTCCGTGGCTGTAACTTCCTGCGGCTCCCCGTGTGGCGATCTGAAACTCGCACGGAACAAAAAATCCCCGCCCGCCTCGGCCATGTGCAACAAATTTCGTCTCGTTGGCCGCTGGTCGTAGTGCATCTTAGCGCGCAAAAGAAACCCGAGGGATTTGAATCCTTGCGCTGCGGCTAAAATGAATGCGTAAAGCAAGCAGAAGATTTGTCGTCTCCTCCGTTTGCAGAACGAATACGTTAGAAGGTCGCGCTCATAATTATCCTTGCAGCAGCGGCATATGGCTTGCCATCAAAGACGGTGACCGCATCGCGCACTTTAAGATGCGCTTCTGCGGCCGCCTGGAACAGTCTTCCTATCGCTATTAGGAAGCCACTGGATGAAGTGAAGCCACTTTTTAAATCAATCGATTGAGAGCTCATTTCTTTAGAACTGCTTTTTGTGTTCAGTTTATTGTCCCCCCACCCCGCACCTCCGATTAGCACGGTTGGCTACGTACGGTGCCAAAATAAGTTCAACATACATACGTACCTATATACACACACACCCACACGCAATCGCACAGAGACAACGAATCTCCTCGTGTTGCCCTCATCGATAACGTTCCAAGTCTGCTGTTGTCAGCGAGCACCTAGCGGGGCTGGCAAGGTGCTCGGGGCGGTGGTGTCGCCAACGCAATGCCCACCCGCCCGGGCTGCCCGGCCTTGTCCCCTGGCTTCACTTCATCGCTCCCGCGTCACCAAAAAAAAGCCCACACACAGTGGCCGAAAGTGATTTACCGAATACTTGCATTTTGAGGTGCAATTTCGAGCTGCATATCGTGATGCAATTTGCGTGAACGACGCGCTACGCCAATTATCAATTCTGATGATTATCACGTCCAGCTGGATGGATTGGAACACCGTGGTCTGTGTTGAACCCCATGGTGTAAATGTGAGTGTTTCTTGTCGTGCTTGTTGTTGTTGCTATATCTGCTGCTGAGCTGATGCTGCTTCCGCAACGCTGCGACCCTTGCGGCAGCGTGCGAGGATCGCAGTGTATTTCAGGGCCCACCCCAACTCCCCTCCAGGACTCCCCCGGAGCTAAGCCCCTGGACAGCTCCAGCCGAGATGAAGGCCTGCCTCTCGGCGTGCGACCGTGGTGCAAGGTGGCACCAGGGAGGGCAGGAAAGGTTGCGGGATAACGTCGCTTCTCGCGTGATTCGCGTCGGCTCACACGGCCGGGACCTTACCCGTAAAGTCGTGTTTGTTCACTTCTCGTGTTCAACACCTGGGAAGTAAGACAAAGATCCCCCCCGCCCCAGCCGTGTAGCCTTAACAGATGGTTGGGGCAAGTGCTTTTAGCGAGCTGCAGCTATGAACACACAAAGACAAAGATCACCCAGGTAGCCTCTAGCAGACTGTAGGGGCAAGTGCTTTTAGCGAGCAGCAATTACGGAGGCCGGCACGGCACCTCCTCGGCTCTTTCCGCCGTTGCCTCGTCCGGAGGGATTTTCCCGCTCGGCTTTGCGCTGTGTTCAATATCAGCGACAGCCAATTTTATGCGCCTGCCATTCTTTGTGCAATATCAATAGATGCGATCGCGCAGTTTAAAACCGCGTGTGCGGGAACTGGATACCGTCAAAGTCGTGGGTGCGAATTTAGAGTCAGCATGTGTGTCGCCTGATTATAGGCACGGTCATCGATTTGTAAAAAAAAATGTTTAACTTCTTTTAAAACATGCCATCGTCCATTGAGATGCAGCAGCATTGTGATCTTGACCTGGGTACACAGACGTGGTAAAAAATAATTACATTTTGTTCAATAATTTTATTAGCCCATCCCGCTGTGTATGCTTTTCGCGGAATTAACATCCGTCGTGTTTTCGGGTTGTTACCGCACGCTGTCTGACGTTTCGCTCCCGCGTGCCGCGAGCTCGGTCAGGAAAACTGGGAGCCGGTCTGCGGCACGATGAATATGCGACCGTCGCACTCTCGCTGACGACGGGGCAGAAAGCCACGCCACGCTCGTGCACGAACAAACAAATGAAAGAGCGAGCGGGTGACGCGTCCCGGTCGGCACGCTCGCTCGCGGGACGAGTTTCGGTCCCGCCCACCGGGTGACGTCACGGTGAGAAATTAAAAAAAATACCTGGGGAGTTGTCACCTAACGAGCGAGGCGGAGGGAGACCCCCTTCCTCCCCCCCTCCCCCAGCATGCGGTCGGATCGCTCCTCTCCCCTCCGTCGTGGGTCGTGACTCCCCGACAATCTCGGCTGACGACGCAGCCTGGGAGACTCCTCCGGGGTTGACGTCGATTTCCAACTCCCCCCCACCTCCCCCCCCCCCCAAGCAGCGTGGTAGCCGTTAAATGTACAGGCGGTCGGGGTGCTCCCGCTCACATAGCCACGGCCTAAAGTGGCCCCCAGGCCCCCCAAGTTTCATTCCTCACGCCGGCCGGGTCGGGCGCGGTACGCGCGGCGGCGGCGGTGGCAGCGGTGCGGCGTGCCGCGGTCACCCTCATCGCGAGTCCACGCCGTTGCCGTTGCCGGTGCTTTCGGGAGTCGGAGGCTCCGGGCGGTCGCACGAGCGCTCGCGGAGCTGGTGCAGCTCCTCCCAGCGGCGCCGGTTCGCCACGATGCCGTCCAGCATCGGCCGCAGCCGGGAGCTCATCCTCGCCAGCGTCTGTGGTGGCGGGGGAGGGTTGGGTGGGGGGGGGGAATCGATGGGGGGTGGGGGGGGGGGAGAAGAGCCACAGAAGGGAGCAGTTGGCACAAATCTGTCACCAATTTCTAACGAGCGTAACGGAAGGGGAACTCCCCAGCACCCAACCATCAGGGGGGGCGTCGCTTTCTCGCGAGCATTGGCGCACGCTAAATCGGTATCCGTTCATGTCGCCGTTATAAGCCATGGTCTAGCCACTGCTGGACCAAGGCTTCTCCAAGCCGCCGCCGCCGCCATCCTTCGCCAGTCTTCGCGATGTAGCCGGTCTATTCAAGTGTCTGCACATGAACCGACTGAATCGCTCATTTTCTGATTGAATCGCTCCATCTCCGATTGCGTCGCTCCATCTCCGATCGAATCGCCTCCATCTCCGATCGAATCGCCTCCACCTCCGATTGAATTACTCCATCTCCGCGGAGTAGACATAGCCTCCCTCGTGCGCTTTGGTCGTTATCTCTCAAAAATCCCCGCCTGACGACACTATAAACTGTGCTGTGCGTATCTTCCCCTTCTGCCTTAGCAAGATGGCCGCCTGAGGCGCGCTCGCTCCCGGGCCGCTCCCGGGGCGCGCTCCCAGCAGCGGCTGCCGGGGGCCGCTTGTGAGGGGGCCGACGGAGCCAACGGAGGGAGCCGATGGAGCCGATGGAGCCGGGGGGGCCGGGGGGGGGCCGACGGAGCCAGGGGGGGCCGACGGAGCTGGGGGGGGGGGTGACGGAACCGGGGGGGGGGCGACAGAGCCGGGGGGGCGACGGAGCTGGGGGGGGGGGGCGATGGAGCCGGGGGGGCCCGACGGCGCGAGCAGAGGGAGCCGACACTGACTCACTCACACATCGTACACTGACTCACTCACATCATGCACTGACTCACTCACACATCATACACTGACTCACTCACACATCATGCACTGACTCACTCACACATCATACACTGACTCACTCACACATCATACACTGACTCACTCACACATCATACACTGACTCACTCACATCATGCACTGACTCACTCACACATCATGCACTGACTCGCTCATCATGCGCTTACTCACTCACACATCATACAGTGAGGGAAAAAAGTATTTGATCCCCTGCTGATTTTGTACGTTTGCCCACTGAAAAAGAAATGATCAGTCTATAATTTTAATGGTAGGTTTATTTGAACAGTGAGAGACAGAATAACAACAAAAAAAATCCAGAAAAACGCATGTCAAAAATGTTATAAATTGATTTGCATTTTAATGAAGGAAATAAGTATTTGACCCCCTCTCAATCAGAAAGATTTCTGGCTCCCAGGTGTCTTTTATACAGGTAACGAGCTGAGATTAGGAGCACACTCTTAAAGGGAGTGCTCCTAATCTCAGCTTGTTACCTGTATAAAAGACTCCTGTCCACAGAAGCAATCAATCAGATTCCAAACTCTCCACCATGGCCAAGACCAAATAGCTCTCCAAGGATGTCAGGGACAAGATTGTAGACCTACACAAGACTGGAATGGGCTACAAGACCATTGCCAAGCAGCTTGGTGAGAAGGTGACAACAGTTGGTGCGATTATTCGCAAATGGAAGAAACACAAAAGAACTGTCAATCTCCCTCGGCATGGGGCTCCATGCAAGATCTCACCTCGTGGAGTTGCAATGATCATGAGAACGGTGAAGTATCAGCCCAGAACTACACGGGAGGATCTTGTCAATGATCTCAAGGCAGCTGGGACCATTGTCACCAAGAAAACAATTGGTGACACACTATGCCGTGAAGGACTGAAATCCTGCAGCGCCCGCAAGGTCCCCCTGCTCAAGAAAGCACATATACATGCCCGTCTGAAGTTTGCCAATGAACATCTGAATGATTCAGAGGACAACTGGGTGAAAGTGTTGAGGTCAGATGAGACCAAAATGGAGCTCTTTGGCATCAACTCAACTCGCCGTGTTTGGAGGAGGAGGAGGAATGCTGCCTATGACCCCAAGAACACCATCCCCACCGTCAAACATGGAGGTGGGACAACTTCACCGCATCAAAGGGACGATGGACGGGGCCATGTACCGTCAAATCTTGGGTGAGAACCTCCTTCCCTCAGCCAGGGTATTGAAAATGGGTCGTGGATGGGTATTCCAGCATGACAATGACCCAAAACACACGGCCAAGGCAACAAAGGAATGGCTCAAGAAGAAGCACTTTAAGGGCCTAGAGTGGCCTAGCCAGTCTCCAGACCTTAACCCCATAGAAAATCTGTGGAGGGAGCTGAAGGTTCGAGTTGCCAAACGTCAGCCTCGAAACCTTAATGACTTGGAGAAGATCTGCAAAGAGGAGTGGGACAAAACCCCTCCTGAGATGTGTGCAAACCTGGTGGCCAGCTACAAGAAACGTCTGACCTCTGTGATTGCCAACAAGGGTTTTGCCACCAAGTACTAAGTCAATTTATAACATTTTTGACATGCGTTTTTCTGGATTTTTTGTTGTTATTCTGTCTCTCAGTGTTAAAATAAACCTACCATTAAAATTATAGACTGATCATTTTTTTGTCAGTGGGCAAACGTACAAAATCAGCAGGGGATCAAATAATTTTTTCCCTCACTGTACACTCGCACAACCACTGACCCATTCACTCCTCATACACAGGTTCACTCATCCTGTGCTGGCTCACTCGCACATCATACACTGACTCACTCATCATGCGCTGACTAACACATCGTGCGCTGACTCACACATCATACACTCACTCACACTGCCACTGACTCACACATCATACACTGACTCACTCATCATACACTGACTCACTAATCATACACTGACTCACACATCATACACTCACTCACGCTGCTGACTCACTCACACATCATACACTGGGAGAGTCGTGCTGCCAGCTATGGTTGCAGGTTTTTGTCGTACGTGTTATGTATATTGTTTATTGTTAAATTTAAAATCACAGTTCCTATGATTACTGTTGTTACATTGTTTTTATAGCTTTATTTTGGTGATTCGAAAACATATGGTTAATCTAAATTGTCTTATGGTTGTTGTTGTTGGCTTGCACCACATTGATTTTTGCACACAACGTTTTAATAAGTTTTTTTGTGTGGAATATTTGCTGGTTTATTCCAGGATGTTTCTGTTATGCGTTGTCGCTTTAAGATGTTCTGTGTTCAAAATTTTGTTTGTTGCGGTTGCACCCGACTTAAGAGCCGCATGGATCACAGGGCTATACCTAATAAATGAAACTTGAAACTGCCATAACCCCCATGGGAGTGGGAGAGGTGGTGCCTACATCTGTAGAATCAAGTCTGAATGTCTGCCTGCTCAGGAAGGGTGATGATGCACTTCTGTGCATCGTGCGCGCTTTCAGATGCGCTTCTTCGGCCGTCTGGGACGCTCTTCCGATATTAGGAAGCCACTGGAACTATGCGACCTTTAAATTATCTAGATTGGCGAACTCATTTCCTTAGAACTGCTTTTCGTGTTTAGTTTGTTGTCCTTCCCCCGCGCCTCCGATGAGCGTCGAGCGTAGTACATCGCATCTCGCCCCATCGCTACATTATGTATGGGGAAGATAGTTTTCGCAGAACGCCTTTTTCGCTTGCCACGGCACTTCTCAGTAACACATCTCCCGCGTTCAACGAAGACTTACTTGTACATTAATTAACGTTGCTGCGTTGCCCTCCCCCCGCGCACCCCTTGCTGGCCAACACGAATCCCTGCAGCTGTCAGCGGTGGCCCCATTAGGAACACTATCTAGGCTAAAAAAGTCCCTGCTTAGCTTTCCGAGTAGTGATGGAATAGGGCGGCGCACTCCGGGGCGATGCTGCCTGCAGGCTATTCGGGGCGGCCCTGAAGAGAGCCGAAGGCAAACGCTCGCGCATGCGACGCGTGTGATGAGCATGTCGCATAATGCACGCGATCCTGCGTGTTCTACATTGCTTCATTAAACCGCGCGTACATCGAGGCTGTTTTGTTACTGTTGCCTCCCTAAGCGCGCTCTCAACCCACTCGCCAAAGTTGTCCTCCAGCAAATTCAAGCGTGCGTACACAATTACTGCGCAAGAAAGTGAATATTTATGAATTTAACAAAGCATAAAATGTTCAACGTGAAACGTGATTTCAGCTTGGTGTTGTTGTTTTTGTATCCACTACGCTGCCGAAAACGCCTTCGCAAAATAAAGCCACCGCATATGCTACGTGCCGTCGGGGTGGAGCGGTGGCACGGTGATTAGCGCACTGCGCGACGAACCCAAACACCCGGGTTCGATTTCCGGGCCACGGCTAAGATCGGTGACGAATAACCAAAGCGGTTCCCGTCACCAAAACCCGCACCGACGATCGTGGTGAAGTTTGGTCAAACGGCCCTTCCTGCCCAACACAGCGTGATAGGACCATCATCCGGCAGTGGATTGCTATAGGGCTGTTGTATCGCAGCGAGGGTTGGCAACAGCTCGCGGGGGGGGGGGGCTTCATTCAGCAGTGGATCGATTATGGCCAAAGATGATGTTGATTATTATGATATGCTAAGCGAGCAGGAAGCCGACACGTAAGAGTTACAATTTGGACGGAATACAGTAGATGTGAGCATCTCAGTGGTCAAGCTCTGGTCTGGGAGGGATGAGTGTCCCAGAATGGAAGGAGCCAGGGGTCTAAAAACTAAAAACATTTATTTTTATTTTACCAGGTAAGGTCCACTGTATCTGTGTAGCTCCCTTTTTTTAGAAGGGATCTGGCCACAACCGATAGCTCACACGAAGTGGCTTGTCGCGAGGAAATTTACAGCAGCCAAATACTCTCAATGCACGCTTCTAAATGTGGAGGGGAACATCGGAGGACCCGGAGAAAAAATCCACGTGACCTCGGGGAGAGAGAGACATGCAAACTCCAAATATACAGCAGGCGTCTGGGTCGGGATCAAACCCACGACATCCTATATACCAGGCGAGGTAGTTAACATCTCGCCACCGTGGCACCGATTTAAGTGGCACCATAACACCCGACTGCACTCCTCACTGCTGTGGGGCGCCGCTGTTCTATAATTCATGGGAGGTTCACGCGCGCACGCACGCTCATGCACGCACGCGCGTATCGGCCTTATGGCTCTGCACACACCCCCCCCCCCCCCCCCGTGTGCAAAAAAAACAGCGCGAGCCCCCGTCCGAGTTGTTTGTCACGGTCGCGTGGAGTGAGGCTCTCCTCCTGCTTCTACCGCCGCCGCCGCTGCTGCTGCTAGCGCGCTCACAGAAGGGTGGCGACGGGGGAACGACCGTTCTTGCGGCACCGTCCGCCGCAACACGTCTGTCACCACCGCTCGGTAATTCTAATATTATTGTCTATCCACCACGAGTCACGCTGAGTATTAGGACTCATTTTCAGGTGGGTCCTGCTGCTGCTGCTGCATTGGGTTTTCATTTGAAGACGTTTTCAGTCGATTCATTATTACACTTGCGAGAGGAAACCGGAGCTCTCGACGGTCGGCAATGCTCAATCCCCGTACAGATGGTAACAGATGTCGATTAGTCCACATTTTGCTGTGCCGCCTTCTCCTGGCGAGCCACAGTAGGGCACCTCCTCGACTTCCACGCGCAGGGAGTTTCAAAACTTTCGATGAGCTACCAACCCATGTTGCTGCCTCCACAGCACTTGATTACTGACCACGTGCAAAGTCGCCGCAGTCCTTTATATAATAGGCACGGGGACAGGTTCTGATATGGCCGATTTAGTCAGGAATACAACTGTCTGGTCTGGCCATTTTCTTATACAGGTAATTAATATGAAGACAATACGATTATACAGACATTTGCCAATCCACCATTGGACAAATACCTCTTCACGTTGCGTCGCTTTGTGGGGCGTTGTTTTTGACCACCCTTTATCACGCTGGTGTCATTGTAGGTTGATGAAGTGCGGCGTCCAGGATCGGTTCAGGTATCGCTCGTCGCAAATCTTAGCTTTGGCCAGGAATCAAACTCAGCCAGCCGGGGGTTCACTGCGCAATGCATTAAACACTTCCACCGATTTTTTTTTTTATATCGCCACGATGCCACTGAAGGAAGAGCTTTCGGCAGTGGAGAAGCAGTGACCCCCAAGAGCCGCAGCGTGGCCACGCTTCCGGTAGCACTGAGGAATGAATTCGCAAACGTTAACTACCTCGCCTGGTATACAGAATGTCACGGGTTCAATCCCGACCCTGACGCCTGCTATATATTTGGCCTTTGCATGTCTCTCTCCGGGTCCTCTGTTTTCCCCCTCCACATTTAATAGATGCGTTTAGATTGTTTGGCTGCTACATATTTCCACGTAATAAGCAATTTCGTTGTAGCCAGGTCGCTTTTGAAAAATACGTTATCTCAATGGGCTTCATTTGGTAGGATGGGGATGGTTTAGTTGTGTTTGTATGTGTTCTGGTGATTTGTTTTCCCGTTCTTATACTTTGCACTCCAAACATGTTTTTGTATTGTTTGTTGTTGTAACGTTCTTACCTGCCCCGACTAGACATCTGTGAAAAAGAGCTTCATAGCTCATCAGATTCCTCCAGTATAAATAGTCTCTCTCTCGCTCTCTATCAATTTCTCTCTATCTCTGTCTCTGGCAATTCTGTATGGTCTCACAAGCATTATCGCTGCTGCTGCTGCTGCTGCCGCCGTTGCTGCTGTTGCCTCGCTGGCCAATGGTGGCGGCTATTGCGGTAGAGAACTCACGATGAGATCAATGATCCAGCAGTAAAGCCCCCCCCCCCCCCCCGCGGCGAATCTCGCGGCCGCGTGGGTGGATTGGTGAGTTGGTGGGTGGATTGGTGGGTTGGTTGGGTGGTTGGGTGGGTTGGGTGGGTTGGTTGGGTGGGTGGGTGGTTGTTGGGTGGGTGGTTGTTGGGTGGGTGCGTGGCGAGCGAGCGAGTCCTCCCATTAGGGCAAAAAGTGGAAGTTCACGCTCGCATATGTAAACAATAATGCTCACTCACAGCAGCATTAACAAATAATGGAACGTGGGGGATGGGTGGCTTTAATGAAGGCGCAGTGCATGCGCGTAAATCACACGCAACTAGCCCATTGTTCACGAAAATGTTCGCGTGGTTCGTTGATAGGGCAACCGATGACAAATGCCGCGCACTTCATCCGCTCGTAAATTGCAATGTACGGTACGTGCCGTAATAAGGAAATTAATAACGATGACGCCGAAGGGAAACCGGTTGTAATTGTGAAAACACTCCTTGGTACAAATAAAAAAAGTAATAGTTATTTGAAACAGAAAATAGTTTAATAAAAAGAAATCGCCCTATGCAAAGCCGCAGCGCTTTGATTCCAGCGCTGACGTATTGCTCACGTCAATGAGGTCCTGGTAGACGGCGCGAAATAATCAATTATTCTTTTCGCAAGCCAAGACCTTTTTACACGCTCGCGTGAGAAAGTGACTCTACGTCACGGTGAGATTGGGGGGCCGGGATGGGGGGCGGAATGCGTTGGGCTGAGTGTGAGCACATGCGTGGGTACATATATAAACAGGTAACAAAGATAAATATCCCCCGTATAGCCCTAACAGACTGTTGGGGCAAGTGGTGTTAGCGAGCACCTATGAAGGCTGGCACGGCATACGAGGGGGTGGGTGGCCAGCACAACGCCCGGTCGCCTATGTTTCTCCAGTGGCGATGTTTACACATGGCACCAGGTACTCATTTACAGGTTGAGTCGACCTAGGGGAGGCCCACCGATTCAGATAATCGTCACTGGTTTTGGCCGTGAGCACGAATCGATCCCGGGTGGCTGGGCTCTGGGCACAGTGCGCTAACCGCTTCGCTACCCCTCCCATATATATATGTACAAACATTTCCCTTTGCCGCAATGAAAACTAAACAGCGTTCTCCTGAAAAATTGGATACCCGCCGCATCAAGGGTGAGCAAAGCAATGCCACCCACGCCGGGCACTGCATGCAGCGGTGGCAAACGGCTCGCCCTCCCTGGCTCCGGGGAAACCCGGCTGTGCGTGCAATGCGATTCGGCATGCATGTATGGCTGTATGTTGAACTTCTTTCGCACCTTATGTAGCCAACCGTGCTAATCGACTTACTAAGCACACACATATCCGTGATCGCGTGTGTCGGTATGTACACGGCGTGTGAGAGTCCGCTCTAAACTATACTATATTGACCAAAACTATGTTTTACTTCACCAGCTAAGGCCCCATTGAGCTATGTAGCTCTTTTTCAGAAGCGACCTGGCCATCACAAATGATAGCTCAACGTAAGTGGCTTTTCATCATGCGGACATTTTATAGCAGCCAAATAACTCTAATCGCTTGACGTTTATTCTAAACGTGGAGGGGGGAAAAAAGTAACCTGGAGAAAATAAAGCGTGGCACTCCTGGACAAATGCAGAAATCATACATTATTTAATAAAATAAATGAGACACAGACAGACAGACGGACGGACGGATGACAGGGCCGGTGCACGTTCAGGATCTTGCCTGGTAGAGGGGTAGACAAATGCCATCGATCCACTCGAGTTGTAGCCCTGGTAGCTCGTCCTTACGGTTTCGATCAAAGATCGCCTGTGCACGGACGATGACACAAGTTGGGGGGGGGCAGGTGGGGCAGGTTTCACTCTCAACGCACGGGGACTGCCAAGTAGCGCAACGCTGTGCGAGAACGCCATCCGCAGTTCGGCAGAGCCCGTTGACGACGTCAGAGTAGGTGGATCACGGAGAGACGGCGTTAAGAGGAGAACCGGACCCGCCAACCGCTCTCGACCCTCAATGCTTTGTTGTGGACCACCGTGCTCTGGCATAATCAGATCGTTTCGAAATTCAGAATCAGAATCAAAATATTTGTTTATACTGGAGGAATCCGATCCGACCAGACAAAGCCCACTGAGGTAATAACTTACTTTTTAAAAGCGACCTGGCCACAAATGACATCTCAACAAATTGGCCCATCGTCATTTGGACATTTCTAGCAGCAAAATTATCTAAATCGTCCAAAGGCATGTTTCAAAATCGTACCGAGTTTGCAACAGTTCCGCGGACCAACTGCCCATGGCCCTAGCGCACCGCAGCTTCAGGAACCTCACTGCTCTACCCATGGCACGCACTCTGCCCTCTCAAAGGAGTGAAGTGACCGCCGTACCACCCCCCCCGCTCCCCCCCCCCTACAATGAACCGCCAACTCACGCCATGCGGAGCAGATCTCCCAGGAGAAGCGGCGGGGGAAGTCGCGTCGCGAGTAATAATTTAATCGCCGTCGTCGCTTCAGCCAGCCGCTCTAAGCCGCTGTCGATTCTACCACCTCCCCCCCATCCCCACCAGACGCTGATGGTCCTGGCAACTCGTTTGCTTAAGAGCTTAAGAGCTCTTAAACAAACTGGGCTCAGCTCCACGCCGGCGATCGCGGACGTCTCGGGTGCGGTCGATCGGCGAGAGCCGGGGTCGGCGCTTAGATTGTGGCGGCGCGGCGTGGCCTTACGAGCGTGAAATGGGGCTGCACTCGCAGCTGAGCCGACTGAAAAATTGGATACCCGCCGCTTAAATAATGACGGTTATATATATTTTTTATATATTGATATGTAGACAGTGCCTCTCGTTCCACAATCACAAAGCGTGGTTGCTAAGCATAGCCCCAAAGGCCCCCAAAACGCCATGCGGCCAGCAACTAACCGCGCTGCCGCTGGTGAAGTCGATCTTCTTCTTTGGTACGGCTGATGTAGTTGCAGAGCAAAACAACTACAATTTCACAATTTCAGGTGGTCAAGCCAGATAGCCGCTGTTAGGAATAGCGGAGGGTACTGCTGTGATGTCTCCTTCGTATGTGTAGCGATATACTCTGAGACACTAGGAATAGCTTTCACAGGGCACAAGGGGTAACTACACTTCAGTCAGGACAGCCAACAGACTGCCTGACTGACAACGCCGAGAAGGTGAAGACGGTGACGAAGACTCCGGCAGCCCAACGGGATTCTACTCCAAACAACAGCCCCGAGCCTTCGCTCGAGTCCCCTTTTATCCTCCTGGCGTGGCCTCGCTCCGCCCCCGGCCACGCCCCCCTTCTGGAACCTACTACTGAGTTCCCGGGTTCACCTCATGTGCCCCTTCTATCAAATTTGCCCTACATCCATCTCTCTGCTTATAACTTTAATCTAAATTGTCTTATGGTTGTTATTGTTTGGCTTGCATCCCACTGGGGTTTTTAAACACAGCGTTGATATACGGTGCTTTTTCTGGAAGACTTTGCTGTTTTTCCCTGGATTTTTTGTTTGTGTGTAGTCACTTTAAGATTTTTCTTGTTCATGTTTTTGTTTGTTGCGGTTGCACCCGTTTCAAGAGCTGCATGGCTCACAGGGCTATACCTATTAAATGAACTGAACTGAACGTAACCTGCTGACAGATAGGGCTGCTGCTGAATTAAATACAGTGTCTTGTATTGTTTTTTTGGGGGGCAGAATTCTTAAATAATAACCTGCAAAGATGTCAGGGACAAACATTCCTCTTAGCCTAACCTCCGCCACTGATGTTATTATTTTGGACAAAGCATATTTAGAGCATTTATTTTCAATAGAGAGGCAGTAATACAATGGCATTTCACGGGGGAAATTACTTTCATTTGTACAGGGCCTGCTAGCTGCAACCATGGGATCAAGTTATCCTCCTGGATTTCTGATTGCTTAGCCGTGCACAAAATAGGTGACCATGTGCATTGTCCTGCAGTAATAAAAGAGCAGCCCCCTGCACATAAAACCCAAACTCCTATACGTTCCCGGTATATTTTTTCCTTGTCTCCTCAAAATCGGAAGAAGATATTAATGAGTGAATGAGTGAACAAGAGATGTCGCGACCTCCCCCCAGACGTAGAGGCAGCGTGTGCTCACAGTCCCTCCGCCACCACGAGCGGAGCCGCGTCGCGTTTGCCGAGCGCAACGCAGAGAAAAAAAGAAGCAGTAGTTCTGAAACTAAACTTAAGCATTTTTAAAATATTTTTCAGAAGTGACCTAGCTATCACAAATGATGGCTCAACTTGACTGGAGGGGCGCCACGGAGGAATATCGCGCCACAAAACGTGTGTTGGATCTGAAAAAATAAGACAGAAAATTGCACGTGCGAGCGCTTTGTGAAGATTGGCTCCTCATTGCAACAAACCACTGCGGCCGTGCGATCAGAGGCGTGACAAAGCAGCCTTTCGCTGCTCGCGACACCAAGTAAATTTATGGTACGCACGTACGCGGCGAGCGAGATGCGGCAAACCAAGCGGCGCTCTCACCGCGGGCGTGAGCTTCAGCTCCGATCGCTCGCGGTCGCCCTGCTCAAAAAACTCGCTTGTCACCAGCTCGGCCACCTGCACGCGAACGGAGACACGCGGGCGATGTTTAGACACGGCACCAGGTTCTCATTTGAGGTTGAGCCGACCTAGGGGGAGTCCCAGGACTGATTCAGATGGCCGTGAGCGAGAACCGATCCCAGGTCGCCGGGTTCGCAGCGCAGCGTGCTAACCATCACACCACCGCTCCCCATATATATGCAAAGACATGATCCCTTGCATAGCTTTTAACAGACTGTTGGGGCGAATGCTGTAAGCGAGCAGCACCTATGAAGGCCGGCACGGCACATGAGGGGGTGGGTGGCCAACACCACGCCCGACCGCCTTTGTCTCCCCAGTAGCGATGTTTACACACTGCACCAGGTACTCATTTGAGGCTGAGTCGACCTAGGGGAGGCCCATGACCGGTTCAGATAATCGTCATTGGTGTTGGCCGTGAGCGGGAATCAAACTCGGCTCACCGGGTTCGTAGTGCAATGTACTAACCGCTACACGACTGCTCCCCACTGTGCATATATATGCACACACACAAATTTCTGTCCTGGCAAACCTGGTAAATCTCCCCAGGGCATTACAAGTCCCGAATGTGGAACAATTATAAAAAGTTATCCACCGCTAAAGATAAGGCATTTGTCTCCGTGTAGTTCTCGCCTTTCTGGTATCGTGAGATGCCCTTTTCCCTCTTCCCACGATGCGTCCTGGTATTTAGAGGGGGGGGGGGGGGAGGTCAACCCTGCTAACGTGTGTAAACCCTCACTAGCGGAGTCAGGAAAACGTCCAAATGTAGGACTTCAGAGCTCGCACAATCATTGGTGCCGGGCTCTGGCTGCCTTGCCCCACTTGTCTGTGGTTTCCCGTGCCTCCGGAACGAATCTCTCCCTCGCCCTGAGAGCGAGTGAAAGACTGTCACCGTTGCACGGTTCCCCACAACATCATTTCACGACGTCGCTCGCTTTCCGAGCGATGGCCGGGATCGAGCGGAGAGACCGAGGTGCGCGGCCCTTGCCTTCCTCGAGATATCCCAGGGCTTGGTGACGGCACCCAGGTCGCACGCCGTCATCAGCATTGACCTGCGGGGATTGCAGCACCATGACCTCGGCGTCACACAGGCGCGCGGGCTGCAAGAGCCGTAACAAAAGTGGCCCTAAAATTTCAGATTTAAAATTACGCAGGTGAATAATATAATCATTAATAATATAAACGGCCAACTTTATCTGTGATGAATATGATGAACGCTGCACTTCCCATCGTATTCATGCAAACCTACGCGCCCCCTGCATGAACAACGGAGGCGCAGGGACAGACGTTCGATTACGTTGGAATCGATCTGCAGATGGCGGTCTTCTCACACAGCCAGCTCATTGTCGCCTTATCTCGATCCCGCAATCCCAAACAGGTGTAAGTCCGCATCGAACCGAACCCCCAGCAGTGACGTGCGGTGAGGTCAATGGCTGGCGAGGCACTGGCTAGTGTCAAAGCCAGATTCACACACTGAGGGGGGCGTGGCCTCACTGAGGGGGGCGTGTTAGACACGTCCCCCTCAGTGAGCCAGATGTGATAGCTGCCTCCCCTGGTGCTTTTTCATTGCATTTTCATGACGAAACCAGCGAGCCTAAATACAGGGTGTTTAAAAAAGATGGACCCGATTTGAAATCTCTATATCTCTGCAACAACGAACCGCCCATGAATGAAACTCTTACCACTTGAAAGGGCGGGGCATAGAGTTTCAAATATTTACCGCTAGATGCCTCTCCCAGCGCACAAACAGCCCCTAGCCTCAGTCATTCGCAAGATGGTGACCCCGCAACACAAGGCGTTTTGCGTTCTGCAGTTCAGCAAGACTGAATCCGTAATTGTGGTGCAGCGTGCGTTTCAACGGCGTTTTGGCATTGATCCGCCAATGTCAAAGAGCATTCATCGTTGGTACCGACAATTTGAGGAAACGGGCTGCTGTTGATGTAAGGTGAAGAGCACAGGGCGACCACGCACCTCGGAGTAAAGCATGAGAAGAGAGGTGTTTGGGACGAATTCAACTATCATCTCGATATACTCTTTGGTTTTTTCGGTAAAGTCACAAAATAAATAAAATAAAATAAATAAAAACAACTAAATTAGTTGTTTTCATTTTTTTTACCTATGTGACTTTACCAAAAAAAACAAAGAGTATGAATCCTTGCAGTCGCGAAAGCTAAAAATCTATCGTCTCGATGTTGTCCGTACAGCAGATGGAGGGCACATCGAGCATTTATAAAATGGTTAGTAAAACTTTAAAACTCATTAAACCGTTTGCAACTTTTTGTGTAATTGTAACATTTTGCCATCGTGAAATATACTGATTTGAAATTGGGTCAATATTTTTAAACACCCTGTATATTTATACACATACGTGAAATAAGTTACCTGGCATATGGAAGGTGAGGACATGAAATGAAGGGGTCTACAAACATTACATTGGTGACATACTGAGATAGTAACAGGCACGCGCTTAGTAACCCAGTTGCTGAGGGGTTGCGCAATCAGGGGAGGCTGAGCTTGTCACTGCCTCACCTCTCGCCTCTTCCTGTATTTGCAGCGGAGCTCCGCAAATTTGGCGATTTTGACTCTAAAAATGATTGGAATCGTACAGAAATTACATTTATAACACAGATCAGTGGAAAAATATTAATATTTATTCAACGGTTTTACTTAACTTGACTACTATGTTTGTCGTGGTCAAATCTTGTAATCAAAATGTAGTCTACTTTCTGTTGTCCAATGAATTACAAATTTTGCACACGTACTTAGATCCGGTGACAATGCATGCCTGTATCAAAATCGGCCCCAATTAATCAATTAATTGCCTCTTTTAAAGCAATTAACATTTTGTATGGACGGCTTATTAATTAAATACTTATTTGGGTAGGTCAAAAACGCCGCGGTCCAAAAAAGTCTGGAATCGCCTCGCCCAAGAAGCAGGCGCCACGTGTAATAAAGATGTCATCCACTTCCCGTTGTCCAATCGAGTTATTTACTTTTTAGTGCACTTTAAAATAAAACCGTTGTTTTGACAAAACTTTTTTTAAGGAGTTTATTTTATTTGATTATTCATATTTTTTTACTTTCAGTAACAGCTATTTTCATTGGCGTATGGAGTATGGCAGGTGAGGCTGTGCCTCCCCTGCCTCCCCTGACCGCACGTGCCTGACCTCCAGCAAGGACATCTACTTAACGACGTTTTCAATGAAGTCTTCCAGATGTAAAATGATACTTATACATAAACAACTTTCTCTGATTATGATGAATATGATGAACGCTTGAGAGAGAGAGAGAGAACGAGGCTATTCAATGTTGATTCCCAAAATCGACTTGGCCCCCACCGACACGACTTTTGCCATTTGTTTTGCGATGACGACAATTTCCCATTCTCCCCGCATACGCTATCACAATCAACAAGTCGCAGGGACAGACGTTCCATTACGTTGGTAAGCGCACAACTTTATCTATCTTTCTATGATGAATACTAGGTTGTTGGGGGGCGACGCAGGCGCCCCCCAACCAATCATATAATTGTTTACACAGAAGAGACTCGCTTTGTTTCAAGACTATTTTTTGTTTTTCTTCCAGAGGGCCCTTATTAGGCTTTCGGAGTCGGGGTTGACGATCGCTAGTCTGCGTTTCCCAATTTAGTAACTCGTGTAAACTCTTCAACTTTGGTAAATGTTGGATCGATGACACCGGCACACAATGGCCCTCTCGATGGGGATGTCATCCATGGGACCTTTAGCGTTCGCCACGAACCGCAATACTCTTGCATTCTTTACGGTTACTACAACACCCGCGCATATGAACCATTAAAAGGTTCATTTTATCCCGCGAAGAAATGCGGATCAATCTTTTGAGCTGTTATTGCCTCTTGAAAAGCCACAGAGCAGTAATGCATAATTTATTGGAAATTACTATAATGTATGTGTGTGCACGTGTGCACGTGTGTGTGTGTGTACATGCGTACGCGTGTGTGCGTGTGTATTAGTCATAGCTTTATTTCTGGTTTCTGATGAGGGATGCAAAATTTATATGGAAAAAAAATGAGCCGCGCTCGCTCACCCTGGCTCCACGTACCTTAGCATCTCTCTTTGGTCCCGTGCGTTCCAGTCATGCGTTCCCATGGACACCAGCTCAAAGAACTTGGTCCTCTGCCTGGTGAGAACAAACGCAGTAAACACAAGAGCCCTCGCATATGAAAATAACATCGAAGAGCGAGTATCCTGCGATCGTGATGATTGCGCGGTTGTCTGGCTTGACCATCTGAATGTGAAAATGTAGTTGTTGCTTTGTTTTTACATCGGCCCTGCGAAAGAATATTAGGCCCTGCCCTTTGCTTTCATGTGTCCACGTGTGTGTGTTTTCACAACGTACGTGTGCTTGCAGTGCGTGTGTCCGTGTGTGTTTGGCTGTTTGCACATGTGCATGTGTTTGCATCGTCTGCGTGTCCGCGTGCGTTTGCACCATGCGCGCGTTACTGGAAATAGAGTGTGAGGTCCGTGGCCAGGATCGCTTGCTTGAGCAGCTGCATCATGCTGCCGTACTCGCGCGAAGAGAGTTTGCCGAATATGTTCTGGCCCTGTGGGAGAGGCGAGTGAGAGATTACGGGAAGACGAACGGACCCATTGGAGTAGCAGCAGCGGCAGAAGCAGCAGTGGATGCAGCAGAAGCAGCTTCAGAAGCAGCAGAAGCATGAGAAGCAATACATGTATGTATATTAGTGTTCTTTCACACCGTATGCAACTAACCGTGCAAATCGCAGCTAACCGTGCAAATGGGAAGTACGGGGAAAGGACAACAAACTAAACTGCAGCAGATGCAGGAGAAGCAGAATCAGCAGAAGCAAAAGCAGGATAAGCAGCAGCAGATGCAGTAGATGCAGCAGGATTAGATGCAGGAGAAGCAGAATCAGCAGAAGCAAAAGCAGGATAAGCAGCAGCAGATGCAGTAGATGCAGCAGGATTAGATGCAGGAGGAGCAGAATCAGTAGAAGCAGCGGAAGCAGGATAAGCAGTAGATGCAGCATATGCAGAAGCAGCAGAATCAATATATGCAGCAGCAGGAGGAAATGCAGCAGGTGCAGGAGCAACAGAATAAGTAGAAGCAGCAGCTACAGAAGCAACAGAAGAGCTACAAACAGCAGCAGCAGCGACGACAGCGCAAAGCGAGCCGCACGTGCCGGCATGCCCACAAGGCTCCCTCAGCATTCATCCATTCATTCGTTTAGACTGTAGTAGAGCCATCGTTTATTTATGAGCGGCTGATGGCCCGTCCCGGGCTAGCCGCATGCAGCTGCCCCTGGCTGTCACGGTGGCGAGATGTTAACTACCTCGCCTGGCATACAGGAGGTCGCGGGTTCGATCCCCATCCCGACCCTGACGCCTTTATATTTGGAGTTCGCGTGTCTTTCACCCGGTCGTCGCGTGGATTGTTTTTCTCCGGGTCCTCCGGTTTTTCCCTCTACATTTATAAACATGCATTTGGAGGATTTTGCTTGCGATAAACTTCCTACGTGATAAGGCGCTTCGTTGAGCCATCATTTGTGGCCAGGTCACTTCTGAAAAACGAGATGGATAGCTCAGTGGGCCTTACCTGGTAAAATAAAAAAATATATAATTTGTCGTTTCTTTCTCCTTCGCACTGCTCCCATTTTGGAACGCGTATGGTGTGGCGTATCGCATTGAAGCCAAACCATGGTTGGCATGGGGCCCTGGTGCGAAGAATCGGAGTCAAGACAATATGTATTTAAACTGGAGGAAATCCGATCAGCTATAAAGCTCTTTTTCACAGATGGCCAGTAGTTTTCGCTGATGTGGGGGACCCCGTGTTACAATTTCCACGCCCCTCCTCCCCATCTTCGTAGTCCACCCGTCTAAGGGGCCCGATGCAGTTGAGTTGCATAGCCTGCACACTCGACAGCTGCTACACCAGTGCCGCCTTCGGCGTACCTCGCTCTGCAGGATCATCACGGCATGGTTGAAGTGGTGGTGCTCTAGTGTGGCCGACGTGCCGTAGAGCCTGGCAAGAGCCGAGCCACTCCTACGGGCGCCACGGAGAAGAGACACGGAGAGGGGGGGTTGGGGGAGGAGAGGGGGCGGGGGGGTGGAGGGGGGGTGATAGTTTGCTTCCGACCTCAAAACTAAGGGGGGGGGGTCCCAATATATGTATGTTGTGTGTCGAACTTCTTTTGCACCGTACTTAGCCAACTGTGATAATCGGGAGGCACGGGAGGACAACAAACTTAACATGGTGTGCTGCTGTGTGTACTGCTGTGTAGGGACCTCGTGGCATTTTGGCCGGGGTCTCCCCCTACCAATGATTCACTGCTAAGGGGGTAAGGTTAAACTTCGGTCAGCCAAAGGGACATTTGGTGGTGCGGGGCACCCCTTGGTTGGCGCATGGGGCCCTGGCCAGCCGCTGCTCCGCTCACTTTGCCTGGAAGGCATTGTTGGTGCCACGGTGGTCGAGGTCGTGGCACAGGCAGCCAACCATGAGCGCCAGCTTCTCCGAGTCGGTGAACACCTCGGATAGCGCCGCCGTCTGTGTGTGGGGGGGGGGGGGGGGGACAGCGACACGGTGAGCCAGACAATGATGGCCAGGGGGAGGAGGGAGGTTATGGACACCGGGAGAAATTATCAATATTGTTCATTTATATTACTATAGAATAGTGCGTCCTTATATGGTGCCCGATCCGAAAATACGACGGGGACATCAGAGTGACACACGCCGCTGCTACGCCTGACGCGGTAATCTGGCTTGACCACCTGAATGCAATCCACATCGGCCGTACGAACGGAGATTACTATTCTTCTCTATCCAGGAACACCTCACAAGAGTCTGAAGACTCTCTTTCAGGAGGGTTCTGTCAAGCTTTAGGAGTAGTCGTAGTCATAGTCGCAAAGCAATCAATGGTCCGTTTCAAATGTTCCTCCAGGTGTCGCGATCGATCGCTCCGAGCCAGGCTTTAACTTCGTATATATCCAGGTATCACTGTACTGTAGGTGTCATCGCAAATTTAGTACAGCAATTCACAGGTTAAATGTTTCAGCATCGGGGATGTTGGAGGCCATTGTGGGGTAAGATGGTGTGCGGTGTGTTTGTGTATGTGCAGAGTCGTCCCTAGGGGTTATGGCGAATCGGGGCGACCGCCCCGGGCCCTGGACTTTGGGGGGAGGGGGGGGCGCGCTTCAATGTCACGGTGTCAGATGTGTAGTGAGTCCAACTGAGTCGCAGACGTTATCTTGGGAGCAACACTATTTATTCCGCAAATTAACACATCACACAATCTACACTCGGGTCTCGAATGTCTATCTAACCAAGCTACGCCAGAACTACACACAGTTCGCTATCCCGGCCCGGACCACAAGCTGGGTCCCGGACTGCGTGGCTAGAGGCTTCTTCTCCCCGACCTGGATCTTCTTCACACCAGCACACGAAGAACCTCTAGCTCCTCACGGGGCCCCCGTTATATGCCCCTGGGCTGGGGCTGGCTCCGCCCCGCCCACCTTCCTGATCTCTCGAGCTCTTTCTCGAAGGTTCCTGAGAGCTCTTTTAGACCATGTGACCGCTCAACGGCCCCTGTCCACCGGTGGTCCCCCTCCAATATCATCCGGTCACGTGTCAGCAGGTCAACCAGCGTATCATGCCCTAACATAACCCTAGCTGGCTGACACTCCCTCTCGCTCCCTCACCGGGAGCCCGCACCGCACACTGCTCGAGGTGCCTCCGTGCTGACCAGCGCTCACCTATGCCCCGCTAGGGCTGGTACTACACCCCGTAAGCGGGATACACAAAATGTCAGCACATTATCTGCCATGACTTCGTAAGCCCGGCACCACACAGTGACAATGACAGTCACTACATCACCCCCCCCCCCTTCCGTAGCTTCCCGCTGTCCCGGCCGACACGAGTGGCCGCGTGCGAGGCATCAGTCATGCGGCGCCTGGGGGTGGAACAGAAACACTCTCCTGATGCACGCCCCAGCTCGTCGGGTAATTTAGGAGATGTGCCCACTGGCACCTGCGGACAATGCAACCAGGCCCTGTCCCCCGGCGACCAATCGCACAAGGAAACACGGGCACCTTTGAGCCGCTCGTTGGCCAGCTGCCTGGCCCGAGAGTTAACACTGGTGGCTTCCCGCGCCTCGTAAAGTTTTCCGATCGTGAACCTAATCGAGGCAGAAATTTTGGACACCTTCGGGGCGGACACGGCCAGTAATTGGACATCGATGGGAGAATCATACTCTCTCCCATACATCAAAAAGAAGGGAGAGTAGCCGGTGGACGTGTGAGAGGTCATCCTATAAGCGGCAAGAACCGCAGGAATATGCAAATCCCAATCGGCCTGTGACTCGCTGACCAAGTGACTCAACCTGGAGGTCAGAATCTGGTGTAGGCGTTCGACCATGCCATCCATTTGCGGGTGGTACGGCGACGTGCGTACCTTTTTCATTCCCAGCAGATCGCAAACCTCACGCAGCAGCTTGGGGGATTTTTTTTTGCCCTGATCCGTCGAGAGGCGCTCAGGGGCACCTTTATCCAGAACATAGCCATTAAGGAACGCCTCGGTAATAGCCACAGCCGATTGATTAGGGAGCGGCCAAGCCATAGGCCAGCATGAGAAATACTCAACGCTTACGAGTAATTTGATTCCATGCGCAGAAGCGGGAAATGGCCCGAGAATATCGAGGGCAACAATTTCATTTGCCCATGACACCTCGATGGATTGCAGCGGAGGACAACAGGATCTCGCCGGCGGCTTCCGCCGGGCACATTGCACGCAGCCTTTCAGTAGAGCCTCAACGTTGTGATAATTGACCGGAATGCTGGTCCACAATCAGCCCGTATTGGAGCGCCGCATGATCGGAGCGCACCTCGAAGTATCGCCCGTACAAGTATGGCCGATATTGTTGCACAAAAACCACAATGGCCAATAGGTCCCGGCGCGTTAAGCAGTACCGCTGCTCAGCCGGAGACAGCACCCTGCTGCCATAGACGACCACGTGCTCCACGCCATTTACGACTTGGGATAACACCGCACCAATGCCGGTATTACTGGCGTCCGTGTCCAAAATAAACGGCACTGAAAAGTCGGGATAACGCAGGGGAGGGGCGTTAACCAGCCCATCGCGAATAGAGCGGAATCCAACCTCCTCCTCCCCCCAATGAAATTTTTGGCCCTTTGCTGTCAGGGCGTGGAGAGGTTTAGCTACTGATGCGAACCCCGCGACAAATCGGCGATAATAAAAGGCAAAGCCGATGGAAGTGCGCACCTCGCTGGCCGAGGTGGGGGTCGGCCATGTCCAAACGCAAGCAGTGTTCTCGGGGTCCGTTGCGATACCCGATTCGCTGACTATGTGGCCCAAGTATCAAACAGATTTTTGGAGCAGATGACATTTTTGGGTCGTGAATTTAAAGTCGACCGCACACATCTTAATGAAAACAGCCCGCAGGCAATCCAAATGCTCATCGAACGTGCGGCCGAAAACGATGACGTCATCCAAGTAGATTAGGCACGAATCCCACTGGAGGCCCACCAAAACCAATTCCATCAACCTCTGAAAAGTGGCCGGCATGGAATGGAGCACCATCGGGAGCCGGTTAAACTCGAACAACCCCTGCGGTGTTCAAAAAGCCGTCTTGGCCCTAGAGGCCTCGTCAAAGCGGCAACTGCCAAAAACCTGACAAAAGGTCAAGGGTGGAAAACAACCACGCGCCCGCCAGAGCATCCAATGAATCGTCCATATGAGGCAAGAGGTATGCATCTGCGACAGAAACTTTGTTAAGTTTCCGGCAATCGACACAAAAACGCAGACTGCCATCGTGCTTCTTAACAAGGACGATCGGAGCGCCCCATGGACTGGTGGACGGCAAAATGATATCCGCGGCCAACATTTCATCAACCGCCGCACGAACGTGTTCCTTTTCGGCCGGACTCAGGCGGTAAGGATTGTGCCGAATGGGGGCGGCATCACCCATGTCAATATGGTGGCTCAACAGGGACGTGTGCCCTATATCAAATTTACATTGACTAAAAATGCCTGAAAACTCCCGCAGGATCGCTCTCAGCTTTCATATTTGTCCCGCGGATATATCGCCGCATTCCAAGCATAGCTTGTCCATCCATGCCTCATCCACAATCGGAGGTCTGTGAGACCGAACGCCGACCCCGACATTTCCCGCGACATCCACCTCCGGATACACCGGAGACGCGTGAAATGGAACCCTCCTGAATAACCGTAGTGTCCGACCTGGCATTAAGAACTTGTATGAACAAAGCCTGGTCCCGGGAGACCAGCGTCTGAGCCGCAATGAGCGACATCCCCCGACTAAGCTTATTCGAGAGACCCAACACAATACCGTCCTCCACAGTGCGTGCATACGCCGCCCCGACGGCAATTCCAAACAGCATTGACCAGGGCTGTTCCAAACAGCCCTGGTCAATGCAAATTTTCCGGGGGCATCTTGCCAAGAAAATCAGTCCCTAGCAAGCACGGGACAACCAGGGCCGTAGAAACCAAAACATGGCCCGACAATTGGAGATCGGCAATGCGCAACGCAACGGAAATCCGAACGATTATCCACAACGATCCGACGTTGGCGGCGAAACATGGAGCATCCACCGGCTCCAAAACTCGACACCGGGGGTGCAAAATGTTGCAAATTAGTTCAGAAATAATGGTTGAAGACACGCCGGTATCAACAAGCATGCGTACTTCATCCCCCTCAATGAACCCAAGCACGGCCGACGATCCCGCGGTCACCACGACCACGCGATGAGCCAGCTCCAACCACTGATTTGGTTGGTCCGCACATTGCGAACATGCACGGACTCCCCCCGAAACTGCACGAACCCCTCCGGGGCCGAGTGTGAGGTGCGCTGCGACTCGCCTTAGAGGGCAGGGAGTCGTAGGAAGGTGAACGTCCCGGGGCCCGCCGATGAGCAGGTGACCCGGCCGCCGCTGGATTGGGATGAAGCAGCCCTCGCCCGCCGCCGATCGTCCTGCCGCCAATCTCCATCATCCTGACAATCACCGCTCCGCTGATACATCGAGCATGCGGAACCAGGCTCCTCATCCGCGTGGGCCTCGGGCTCCGCGGAAGACGCAGAGCACGCCACCAACACCCTGCCACGTTGCAGGGTCTGCTGCGCCTATATGCACCTGGTGATCTTGACCAAAGACACCTCCCCGTCCTCGGTGGGAAGCACAGTACGGAGATCCTTGGCGAGTCCCAACATCTTCTCGAGGACCAAGGCGTCAAGGCCATTGTGATCCATTTTCAGGAACGCGGCCTTCGCCAGCGCCAAAAGTGCACTCCTGTAAGCGAGGGCCGACTCACCATCCTCTTTCCGCCTCACGGACGAACTTCTGACAGGTGTTCAGTGGAGGCTCGAAAACAGCGGCCATCTGGTCAAATGCCTGCGTGAGGGTGAACCTCTCGGACAGCGGGATGGTGAGGAACGCCGCCAAAGCATCATCGACAAGAGCGGCAGGCAGCGCCTTCAGCGCGTCCCCCTCCGACTATCCCGCCAAGTCGGCATTAGTGAGAAATCGCCGCGTAAATGCCAGCCAATCACCGCTGGCAGCAACAAATTCTTTAATGAAGGGAGGCCGACGGCGGAGCGACTGGACGTCGATCGATGAGGACGTCCCCGCTTCAAGCTTGGCGGGCTCCACGCTCCCCACCAGCGGCAGAATGGCACTCGCAAGTGCGGGCAGCGGCGATGGCGTTCCCACCTTGTGTGAAATGGTGGCCGAGTCACCCCGTGCGGAGAGCTCCGCCGCCCCCTCCTTCACCGTCGAGGATAGGGACCGTATCTCGACGAGGATGGCGGGCGCCGCTTGGAGGAGTTCAGCGAGACGGCCGTGCGCGTCCCTGACGAGCTCCTCCACTGAAGGCGAGGCGCTCCGTGCCCCGACTGCGCCGTGCTCCGTGGGCAGTGTCTCTGCTCCTTCCTCGTCGTCTTCATTGTCTGATGCACGTACACGAACTCTGCGACGCGTAGACATGACTCGTCTACCGCTAGCTACAGCCTAGCAAGTTGGCCACTTCCGACACCAGTTGTTGTGAGTCCAACTGAGTCGCAGACGTTATCTTGGGAGCAACACTATTTATCCCGCAACTTAATACAAACTCACACAATCTACAGTCGAGTCTCGAATGCCCATCTAACCACACTATGGCAGAACTAGACACGGTTCGCTATCCTGGCCCGGACCACAAGCTGGGTCCCGGACCGCATGGCTTGAGGCTTCTTCTCCCCGATGTGGATCTTCTTCACAACAGCACATGAAGAACCTCGAGCTCCTCACGGGGCCCCTGTTAGATGCCCCTGGGCTGGGGCTGGCTCCGCCCTTCACCCCGCCCACCTTCCAGATATCTCGAGCTCTTTTTCGAAGGTTCCCGAGTGCCCTTTTAGACCACGTGACCGCCCAGCGGCCCCCGTCCACCGGTGGCCCCCCTCCAATATCATCCGGTCAGGTGTCAGCAGGTCAACCAGCGTATCATGCCCCAACGTAACCCTGGCTGGCTGACGCTCCCTCTCGCTTCCTCATCGGGAACCCGCACCGCACACTGCTCGCGGTGCCTCCGCGCTGACCAGCGCTCACCCAAGCCCCGTTAGGGCTGGTACTACACCCCGTAAGTCGGCTACACATAATGTCAGCACATTATCCGCCATGACTTCGCAAGCCCGGCACCACACAGTGACAATCACAGTCACTACAGATGTACCACTTCTGATTTACTTTGAAGACGTTGGGGTGGCTGGGGGGGGAGCTCCACATGGTGTGATTTTCTCCGGACTCCGTATCCCCCTCTATGGACGGCACTCTGCGGTGTGTGTGGTATGCGTGTGGTGTGTGAGGTGTGCGTGTGTTGTGTGTGTGGTGTGTGTGGTGTGTGTTTTTAGGCGGTAGTATAGCGGTTAGCGCGCTGCGGTACGAACCCGGCATCTCGAGTTCAATTCCCCACTTACGGCCAACACCAGTGACAATTATCTGAATCGGTCCTGGGCCCTCCCCTAGGTCAACTCAGCCTCAAATGAGCACCTGGTGTGATGTGTAAACATTGCCACTGGGGAGACAAAGGCGGCCGGGCGTAGTGCTGGCCACCCGCCCCGTTGTGTGACATGGCAGCCTTCATAGATGCTACTCGCTAACAGCACTTGCCCCAACAGTCTGTTAAAGGGTATACGGGGGGGCCTTTTTCTTTGTCTGCGCGTGATGAAAGGGGCCACCCCCCACCGTCATCATGGCGAACATGCACTGCGCCACGTTGAAGGCGTGCCGCCAGTTGTGGTACTGCACCAGGCGGTAGTTCTTCCTTACGGTCAGCAGCCACCGGCACAGCGTCTGTGTGTGGTGAGGGGAGGGGTGGCACACGTACGGGCACAATGGGGTCAGGGTGACGGGGGGGGGGGGGCTGCAGTGTCAGTTCGATGAGGGGGGTGGGGGGTTATGGCTGAGAGGCAGGGGGGGACACCGACCACCCCCCACCGCCGCCCTCTTGAGGCTTGTCACGATGCGTCGATTCAACTTAAATTACAATAAATATGAAGACAAAAATCCAAACCCATCGCTCAACCTGACGCACTCTTTTTTCCCCTCCTACCGGATCTCAGATCTCTGCTGGCTATGACAAAGTTGTTGTTTTTTTCTCCCAGCGAGGGGGTGGCTTATTTATTTATCGCAGGCGACACAAGCATCTTAGTACATCAATGAGGCACCACGGTGGCGAGATGCAAACCGCCTCGCCTGGTGTATAGGGGGACATGGGTTCGATCCTGACCCTGACGATGTCTGTATATTTGGAGTTTGCGTATTTTATCTTCTCTGGTTTTTCCCTCCACATTTAAAACAAGCGTACAGAGCATTTGGCTACTTTTGGTTTTCACTTGAAAAGTGAATTCGATGAGCTATCATTTGTGGCCAGGTCACTGCTGAAAACGAGCTACACATGTGAGTGGGCCTTACCTGGTAACATTTTAAATAGTTTAGTATAAATAGTTGGGCCAGGTGGCTCTGCGTTAGAATGCGCAGCTCGCAAATTGGAAAGTTCCCGACTTAAAATCCTGGTCAAGGGGTTGACTCTGTCTCCTCCACGGCCCGGCACCACTTTGTTTGTTATCATATGGAGATACTCGGCCCTGCCCGAGGAATGTGGAATTTCCTATCGCTGGTTCAAGAGCTGTTAAACAGTGTTCACTTGAACGGGAAATTACTTGAATTTTGACTTAAATTAATTGGAGAACAACAGTTCATTCGAACTGCATTTTGTGTTTTCAGTTTGTTGTCCTTCCCCCATGCTTTGCGATAGAAGTTCAACATTACATGCACACATACAAAAAGCGGGAGGCAATGTTGAATACAACAGTGGATGTAAAACCCCTGAAGAAGAGAGATTACAGTCCAACGTGACCCCCGTAGCCCCGTCACGGGGGGGCGCGCGCACCTCGTAGTCAATGCGGAACGTCTGCACGAGCCCGAGGTCGGTGAACATGCGCAGGGAGGCGGTGATCATTGCGTCGTGGTCCAGCGAGAAGTCGTCGAAGTGGAACTCGTCGATGCCAAGCTCGCACACCAGAGGGATCTCCGCTGCCTACCAAGGAAGGAGGAGGGTGCAAGGGGGGCAGAGGGGCAGGGGAGCAGAGGGTAGTGGGGAAGCTAACTCCCCCCCCCCTTTTTCCTGAAGACAACCGTTTGCGTTGCGATTGAAACGTCGTAGTTTTGTTATTTTTTGCTTATTTTCTTTGAACCTATCTTCGTGACTTTACCGAAAGACCCAATAATATGAATTCCTGCAGTCACGAAAGCATTAAGTCAAGATTTAACCGCCTCTACGTGGAGGGTTTCCACACAACTATTAGATCTTTTAACAAACTTCGAGACAAAAAGGCTCACCTGATCGAGTCGCTCACATTTCTGAAGAGATGCCGTGACACCAAGGTAATACCGATCGCCTTTACACTCACATCTGCTGCTGTCACTTCTCCCAATGCTAAACGGATCTTGTTCAGGGCTGGCTTAGCCCTGATCTCAGAGAGAATAAGATTGCTCCGATTTGAACTAGACAATTTAGACAAGACTCCTCGGGTCATTGACGGAAAAAAATGTCTACATCTGATTGGAAACATGTAGACAACATGACAGCCTCTTCAGCCACCTCAATGTCAAAGATAAGCTGATTTCCAAGTTAAACCTCTTTTCCAAGAAGAAGCCAGGTCCACACATCAAAAGGTTAGACGTTGACAAGATTGTTATCAATCAGAGTAACAGTCCAATTTCAGACAGCCTAAAATCGGTTCTAGCCAAAGGGTTGAATTTCGCAGTCACCCCTAAACACATCCCAGTTCATGATATCATTGTCCAGGTCGACGTAGCCGAAATTGCCACTATCCTCAAAAACGCGAAGACACCTATTAGTAACATCAGTAAAGATTAGTGCTTTGAGCTTTCTCAATTAAAAAATAGAGATTAAATCATCATTCTCTCAGCCGACAAGGGCAATGCCACGGTTATCATGGATAAAACCACATACAATGACAAAATTCAGGACCTACTTAATGATGGTAGCTATATCAAAATTAAAAGAAATCCCACCAACCGATTCATTACGAAAATCAACAATATCATCACTGATTCGACATCTTTGATCGAACCAACCAAGCGGTTTTCTTTAAAACCCTCTGCTGCTAGACCACCTAGATTGTATGGCTTACCAAAAATCCATAAAGGGACACCCCTTCATCCTATCGTCTCCACCATTGACTCACCCACCTACAAACTGGCCCGATTTCTGTCTGAGACCTTACAACCATTCTTTGGTAAGACCATCTCAGCTGTACTCAACTCAGCTCACTTGGTATCGTTAATTAAGGACATCTCACTATCTCCAGGTGATTTGCTCGTTAATTTTAGATGTGGTTTCTTTGTTTACCAAAGTTGCTGTGTTTGACACCATTGCAATCATTGAAGATTTGGTCCAACAAGGACTGAATGCTGGTGAGACACTGCCTCACCAACACTTACTTCACCTGGAATGGAACATTCTACAAACAAGCTGAAGGTACCCCAATGGGTTCTCCCTTATCTCCAGTTGTAGCCAATGTTTTCATGGAAAAATTTGAGACAGATGCCATCCAGGCATCCACTCTACGTCGGTCCTTGTGGAAGAGGTACGTAGATGACACATTCGTCATCTGGCCACATGGCCGACCAGCTTTGAACCAATTCCTCAACTACATCAATTCCATACACCCAGCCATAAAATTCACCATGGAGGTGGAAAAGGATGGAAAGTTACAATTCTTGAATGTTTTAATCGAAAAGAGACCAGATGGCTCAATGGGACACTGTCTACAGGAAAGCCACCCATACGGATGCCTACCTAAAACCAGACTCTCACCACCATCCATCCCAGAAGAATTCCCTCATTAAAACTCTACACCATAGAGCTCAATGTATTTCCGACCATCATCACCTAGCCAGTGAACTGGAACACATACACCAAGCTCTCAAGATGAATGGATATTCAGACTACACAATCCGTAAAGCTATCACCCCAACCGTTGGGAAAGAACCATCTGAGGACCCAATCAAAATCATTACCTTACTATACATACAGCGCTGTCTGTCCTACCAGACAGTCTCGTCCCTTCACCTGATGAAGGCCGCTTGTGTTGTGGCCGAAACGTCGTGAGAATATTATTGTGTTATTTTATTTTATCAATTTATTATTTTATTCTCATTCTACGTGACTTTACCGAAAGAACCAAAGAAGATTCTTCATATATATGTACACATACATTTTGGAAACATCTTCACATCTGGCATTTCCGGTTGAGTTTGAAGGAGTCGCAGGGGTGGGTGGGAGGGCTTGCACACACAGTGCGAACATGGTCCATTGTCCGAAACGTCGCTTATTACATCTGTCTTCCGTGTCTCCTGCCAGTGATATATATTCAATCGACGAATATGCGCGAACACAAATCGTCCGTTGAAATCCCGACGACGCCCGCAATGGTGGGGGCTGTTACCTTCAGCGTGTCTACCTCGGCCTTGGTGCAGGTGGCGTGGTAAGACAGCACCTGCAATCGCGACAACGGGGTGGGGTGGACGTGACGGTCAACGCGGCGTTTAGCGCAGTGGTTCTCAGCGCTTTTATTTGGCTACTGTGCACCCATTGTTGTATGTGTATACATGTGAAGTAGGCTGGAAAACAGGAAAACTCAAAGTGTGTTGTTGCTGTTGTTCGGAAAAATGGAAGGAACCCGAAAGAGAGGAAGACCTAATGGAGAATGGCTTGGACGACGACATTAAGAGTTTGGTGCCAGAAAGATGTGCACACTGCTTGAGTATATTGGCACAAGACAGAGGAAAGTTTAAACAAATGACGAATGTGCAGTGGACACCTATGGGCTATTTGCCCATGGATCGTGATGATAATAATCCCTTGTTGAATTTTGTTTCAACCGAGTACGCCCCTTGCATGACCCAACATGGTTCTGAGAAAGAAATGTATGAATCACGTACATCAATATTGTAGCCAATCGTCCATTTTGTGAGGTATCCTTATCTGAGGCATCCTCTCTCTGAGTCATCCTCTCTCTCTCTCGGAGTCATCCTCTCTCTCTGAGTCATTCTCTCTCTGAGTCATCCTCTCTCTCTCTCTCTGAGTTATCCTCTCTCTCTCTCTCGGAGTTGTTCTCTCTCTGAAGCATCCTCTCTCTGAGTCATCCTCTCTCTCTCTCGGAGTCATCCTCTCTCTCTCAGTCATTCTCGCTCTCCGAGTCATCCTCTCTCTCTCTCGGAGTCGTCCCCTCTCTCTCTACGAGAGCAAGCGCATACTGTGCAGCGGCGGTGGCACAGGGTCACAAGTTGAATTCTTATTCATGCTCATCTGAGCAGGGCATCACGTGCCACAGGGTCGTTTCTGTGCTAAAGTGGCGATTATTCACGCATCTCAACAAGTCTATTTCACCTGCTGGTGAAATAAAAGATACCGCTACAACTACTCAGCAGCACAATCAGAATTTTTATTTATACTGGAGGAATCCGATTAGCTATGAAGCTCTTTTTCACAGATGTCCAGCAGCAATGGGGTGGGTGGGCGTGGGGGGGAGGTGTCTTCCAGGATTTCTGTCAAAATGTGCGGTGATAATTGGGATCTGGGCCACCACAAGAGCTGTCCATAGGGTATGGCGAATCGGGGTGACTGCCCCGGGCCCCACGCTTTGGGGGGGTGGGCGACCGTGCTTCGACGTCACGGTGTCAGATGTAACACTTGCGCAACCTCCCCCCCACCCCATGGACGGCCGTGGCTGCCACCACGCACAGGTTTAGTATGTACGTTGAACGTCTTTCGCACCATACGTAGCCAACCGTGTGCTGCGCTAAATCGGAGGTGCGGGGAGAAGACCAACAAACTAAACGCAAAGAAGCAGTTCAAAAGAAAGAAGTTTTCAATCTCGATTACAATAAAACCTTGGATTGCGAGCATAATTAGTTCCAGAACCGTGTTTGTAATCCAAAGTACTCGTATATCAAAGCACTCGCATATCAGTTGTGATCACATGACGCTCGCCAAACAAAGCGTATACGTACTACTCGTATTGCAAGACCTCGCTCGATTATCAAATTAATTTCGATTTAAAGCTTTCGTGACTGCAAGGATTCATCTTCTTTGGTTCTTTCGGTAAAGTCACGTAGAATGAGAATAAAATAATAAATTGATAAAATAAAATAACACAATAATATTCTCACGACGTTTCGCCCACAACACAAGCGGCCTTCATCAGGTGAAGGAACGAGACTGTCTGGAGGACTGTCTGGAGGACAGTCTCGTCCCTTCACCTGATGAAGGCCGCTTGTGTTGTGGCCGAAGCGTCATGAGAATATTGTGTTATTTTATTTTATCAATTTATTATTTTATTCTCATTCTACGTGACTTTACCGAAAGAACCAAAGAAGATGTATCAAATTAATATTTAAAAAAAAATGTGCTCGTCTTGCAAAACACTCGCAGACCAGGTTACTCGCAATCCAAGGTTTTACTGTATTTAAAAGTGACATAGCTCCAGCGGCTGGCTTCCTGGAAGGAAGAGCAAATGCGCCTGGGGTCTGAGAAAGAGTGCGCCACGCGTCAACGTGAATGATCAATGGGCGGCGGCGGTCGGCACTCACATCCAGAGCCACCGACTGCTTGGCGAAGGACTTCTTCACTTGATTGTACATGATGGTGTTATTTATTCCCAGTCCACAGAAGATGACAAAAGCCTGGCGAGAAAACGGTGCACGACAAAAAACAGAAATCAACCGTAATGCTTCGCCCCGCGTTAAAGTTAAACCAACACAAAAAAGAAGAGAGAGGGGGGGGGGGGGGATAAGTGCACTGATTGACGCCTTATTTCGTGACAGCAAGTAAACAGCGGTGGAAGGGGAGAGAATAATAAAAAAACATATATACCTCGAAAAGCCTTTGATCATCGTCGTCAAAAGGCTTGCCATCGATCCGGTTCAGAATCTGCGCAACACCTGCACACAAAAGCCACCACGGGTTGATATTCCAAAGTGCCTGGGATTCGATTCCTGACTTAAATTAAACTAAACACATATTTTTTTATTTTACCAGGTAAGGCCCACTGTAGCTATGTAGCTGTTTTTCAGAAGCGAACTGGCTATCACAAATGATAGCACAATTAAGTGGCTTATCATGTGGAAACTTATCAGCCAAAAACTCGAAATGTGGAGGGGAAAACCGGAGGACCCCGAGAAAATGCCTAATAGACAGCAGGCGTCTGGGTCGGGATCGAACCCCCGACTTCCTGTATACCAGGCGAGGTAGTTAACATCTCACCACCTCGGCGACTCGGGCGCTGCGTGAAGCGATGCCATCATTATTAGCGACGTAGTTGAATGCGGTATATGATGGCCATAAACAAGTCTATCCTGGGCATGTGTTTACCCGTTCATTCAGGGGTGTGTGGGCAGCACCATGCCCAGCCGCCTTCGTCTCTTCAATGCTGATATTTACGCACGGCAGAAGCTACTCATTTCAGGCTGAGTCGACATAAGGGAGGCCCAGGACTGTTTCAAACATCTGCCGCTTGTTTTTTGGTCATGATCGGGAATCGAACTCTGGGTCGCCGGGTTTGTAGTGCAGTGCGATAACCGCTATAGTGCTACACTACTGCTCACAGATGCATGTGTGTGCGCACGCATACAGACACGCACACACTTTATTTGTTTTTAGTGTCACTCTTGTCAAATTTTCCTGTGCCCTGCAAGTTTTCTGTTGAAACAGAAGCCAGCTCCCGCTGCACGGAGAGGGAGAGGCACGCGGCATATCGTGGTGCAATACACGTGGTGGTGGTTAGGCCTCGGCAAGGTAAGGTAAAAGGTAAAAACAACGAGCCTACCTTTACCCTACCTTTTACCTTACCACAATACAATAATTCTACCCTACTTTTTACCCTTCAGCAGGTAAGGTAAAAGGTTAAAAGCAACGAGCCTACCTTTTACCCTTACCCCATACAAATTACCCGATTACAGGGTAATTACTGGGGTACTACTACACATGCAGGTAAATGCTAGGTAGAGCGCTTTATTCATATAGAATACTCTCAATGATTCCAATTTTACATGCTTTCTTTTAACTCACTCTGTTGTTGTCGTTGTATCCTCAAATCTTGTAACTCAATTTTAACCCACGTCCCAATGTGGTATCGACTGCAAACTTGGTATACTTATGTCATACTGATGACAATACGATATTCTATCATTAAAAATAAAATACAAATATTTTTAAACATCTTTTATATGTTATGTTTCGGCTTGGGTCGAACTAAATAAAAATATTTTTAAACATTATTTTTTATATGTTATGTTTCGGCTTGGGTCAAACTGTCCACAGTCAACTGACGTTGGCTGTAATTGCCCACGGCCCCTTAGGTTGTGGCAAGCTCGGGTCCACTTCCTGGAGTCGTGGAGTTCTGCCATTACCCGTACATTTCATAAAAACGTGTTAAATTTTTTTTTTATATTACTTATTAAATGGAGGCCACGGACTGCGCCACGGAGCTTTTAGCGGTAAACAAGGCACCGTATTTACCGGGTTAATATTTCGCGCTACGTTTACCCTACTGGGTAATTCTTCCGAGCTACCTTTACCCTACCCTTTACCTTACTCCTTTGCATGTCGACACCTTTACCCTTTACCTTTACACTTTTACCCGGTAAAAAAGGTAAATTACCTTACCTTGCCGAGGCCTAGTGGTAGTGGCGGTGGCTGTAATGATGTCCTTTTGCGACGTGAAGTTTTGCGGGTTTCGGTCCATACCCGACCCTAGTTCTAGTACCCGCACCGCTGTGGTTTAGTTTATAGTGGAACCCCTGTTTTACTTGACGCACCCAATGACTGGGTGCAGAGTATAACAAGGATTACTGCAAAATAACAGCGTTTATTTTTAATTCAAATTTTTATAGTTATTAAATTTTTTTATGGTGGCAAGTTTGCTACTTACCCGCAGGGAGTGAAAATATCACCAGCAAATAATACCAACCAAAATCACCATCATAACAGCAGCAATAACAAACAACACAATTCTATAACCCGACAATACCTGTTTCACGGATTTCTTCAAATACAAACGCCGACGGATGACAACTACGGAGTGTTCCGCCAGTTCTTGAACAGATTAGATAAAACGTTCCAACGACAACTCCAGCCTTAGGCGGTCACCTCCCCTTCTTCCCCAGCTGTCGAAGCCTCCCCCCACAGTCTTCAGCATTCATGAGGGCTACTTTCATTCCAGCGGCGGGGTGGTTTTTCGTGACGATCCACTCCTGGGTGGCGGACAGGTGAACAGAACCGTTGTCCACTGCAAGACTCCAGATGGTTGTGCTCCTAAGCCAGCCATCTGCCGTCACCAACAATCCTGGCCCCAAGATGACGCTTGCTTACACAGCGCACATTTGATCAGACCAGTAGGCCATTGAAGAACTACCAGTTGATTGTGCTTATGAGCCAGCGAAACTGCTGTTACACCGCTCCTGGCTCCAAGACGATGCTTGTTGGGATGGCACACTTGTGAGCAGTCAACAGCAGAACCCCAGTCGCTCACAGGCCAGCAAGTTGTCGTCACCACCACTCCCGGCTCCAACTTCAGACCGTCGTCCTCTTCAAGGTGGCCGCCTCGTGGCAAAAATTCACCTCCATAACAAAATGGCCGCCTCACCAATACACCCGGGCACACTGCGGTCGTGACGCAGTTTGAATATCTGACACCCACGCTATGTTTCTTTTTCACCTGACACTTTGCTCAGCTCCCGAAATTTTCCTCTGTCATTACTTAGCTTATTTCAGGCCCCAATGGCCCTCACTTCAGGAAACCAAATGTTCTAACTCGTATTCTCTAAGCCGCATGGCCGCCCTGCGTATCCCTTCACTCCTCGTCCCTCTCGTCCCTCCCCTGTCACCTGGTTCCCCTTTCCAAAGCTCCACCCACTCCTGTCAATCCGAACCCCTCACCGATCAAGAGACACCCTGCCCACGAAGCGTCCCTGCCCCCAAACCACAGTGGCCCAGGCAGTCAGAGCCACTCAGCCGCAATCTCACGGGGAGGCGAGCGATGATAGCCCACGAGATGCGACTCGCTAAGCCCATGACCGGTTCGGACACTGGAATTGAACTCAGGTAGCTGAGGTTCACAGGGCAGCAGTGCATGATCAACCGCACCATGTTCTCCACCCAGTTCCATTTTCATCATCATCATTATCACCACCATCAGCCGAGGTCAATCCACTGCTGGACGAAGGTCTACTCCAAGCTGCTGCTACCAAGCACTTCTGACGATCCTGCTATGTGAGCAACCGGCACACGAACGGATTGAATCGCTCCATCTCCTTCGGTGGGTTCGTCCTCTTTAATGCGGATCATGTAGTTACCAAACTCACTCAGTAGGGGGCACAGCTGGTGCGTCTGCCAGTCATCTCAGTCAGTCAGCCCATGGCACCTGCTGGGTTTGTCCCGTGACCCTTTCTGCCAGCGAGCCTTCGACACTTCACGTGGCCCTCGGGGTGCACCTTGCCTGGCACAGGCGCCGTGTTGATGTCACCATCACTTCGTGGTAACTGGCGGGTATTATTGCTTGCTCAGCTCTTTTCGGTTCCGCTCTATCGACTTTGGCTGCTCGGAGCTCGAGTCGGCGAGACCGCTGCAAGTGTGACGGGCAAGAGACTCCTAGCCGCTGTTGAACGGCCACTGAAGTGGCTTTCACCAGCCTCCCCCGGGCGTCTGCTGGGAGCTGCCAAATGAACACTGCCACTGCGAGCGGCGGAGGAGGAGGAAGCAGGAGGCAGTGCCGTCTCGGCAGGAATTAATTAAACTCCAGCAAAAGGGGAGTGTTTCACACACTCCCTAGGAAAATGCATGCTTTGACTGAGCTCAGGGCATCCGCGTTTCTCCTCCCAATACTGCTTGTCAAAGCACTTCACTCGCAAGCAAAAGGTTGTGTGTCCAAGTCCCGGTCGGGAATCGACGAAGGTTATTATCATCGTCACCGTCGTCGGCATCAGCAATGATCAATCCTCTGCCGGACGAAGGCTTCACTCTGCACGCAAAAGCCGTCTGCCCCCTCCCTTAACGATTTCACAACGCGGCGAATGATCGAGCCTCCTCCTGCACACCCAGGGGGATTGGAGCGGGGAGTTCGTCGCCAACAAGGCAGAAGCGTTCCTGAGCCCGTGACGCACGGCCCTCGTGACTGGAACTCTTCATGAAGAATGAGTGACGGGTCCTGGGGAATCTATTAAATTGGCCACGTAGCTCGGCGACAGAGCAAGCGACTCGCAATCACAAGGGGGGGGAGGGGGGGTGGGGCTGACTTAGCCCATCAACCCACTGAGGTCGATTAAAATCACAACCAATTGTGGGGAGGTCTATACCGTGTAGTGGTTAGTCTGTTCTGTTCGCGTTAGCCATTGAGCGTTGATGGGCACGAACGGGACTTACCGATGATCTCGTGGCTGCTGTTCCAGATTGGCACACACAGCACCGAGCAGATGTGAAATCCGGACATTTGGTCTGCGTGCTGCATCCAGACGAATGCACACACGCACACACGTACAAGCGGTATCGGTATATATGTATGTTGCACTTCTTTCGAACCGTATTTGGCCAACTGTGCTAATCGGAGGTGCGGGGGAAGTACAACAAACTAAACACAAAAAGCAGTTCTAAAGAAATTAGTTTTCAATCTAGATTTAAAAGTGCATAACTTCAATGGCTTTATAACATCATAAGGAAGAGCGTTCCTGCCGTCCACAGAAGCGCATCTGAAAGTGCACGGTGCAGTGACCATCTTTGTTTGATCACTAGCCAGAAGCTGCTGCTGCGAGGATGACCGATGTTAGCATACTCATGTACCATGAGTGAGTTTATACTGCTCGTCTCACATTTATAGCCCTGACCCAGTGGTGGAAACCCCACATCCATATGGCAGGGGGCGAGTCTATCCATAGGACAAACACATTTTTTTGATATCCCCTTGCTTGACCACCTCTGTTTTGAAAGACTGCGTTGATGATTTCGGTGGAGCCGTTAACTGAGCTCGAATCGTGATTGGTAAGTTTACCTATTCCAACCCTCTGTGGCTTAATCCACCATCCATTCGAATCAGAGGGGAAGTCAGCGGCAGTTGTCTTATCGAACAATTGCTCCCGACCATAGCAATGTGGAATTTCCTTCGTTGGCTGAGGATGTTTGATGAGCACTGCTCCGAAGCAATATTGATTTTTATTAAACTTAACTATTTTTTATTTACCAGATAAGCCCACTAAGCTATATAGCTCTTTTTTGGAAGTGACCTGGCCACAAATGACAGCTCAATATAGTGGCTTATCACGTGGAAATGTATTTTTCTAAATGGGGGGGGAAAAACCGGAGGACCGAGATGAAAATCCACGTGACCACGGGGAAAGAGACACGCAAACTCCAAATGTACAGGTATCAGGGTAAGGATCGAACCCACGACCTCATGTATACCGGGCGAGGTAGTTAACATCTCGCCACCGTGGCACCATATTATTATTAAAGTTAGCAAAGCAGAAGCACTTGCCATCAATAAGACAAAACAGCAGCAACAGAGAGAGGGAGAGATGAACTCAGGTGGGAAGATGAGATGTCTCAAACTCCTTCATCGCGTCTCAAATCCATGAGCGCAGAATCTTTGACTGAGCTCTCGGAAGCACTTTCGCTCCATACGCCACAGTGTTGTGCAGCACAAGGTCCGGCGTTTCGCTCTTAATGCTGGGAACATCTTCGGGAGCCCATATGGAGCGATCTCACTTCTCTGCAGGGGCTCCCGAAGCCCGTGGAGCAAAAAACACCGGACGGGGTTCGGTGTGCCCAATATCGAAATCTGAGATCCACACCACTCCGCCGCGGCGCGAACCTATGCGGTGGTGGTGGGCCTCGACTCGGTCATTGGCAGGTGAGTGGCGGTGGTGGAGGAGGAGGAGGGGTGGGCCGCTCGCTCACCTTTGTGTCGAAGCGTGGGTCCTGGTAGACGTCGCTGATGTTGACGGGGAGGCCTGTGGAGGCCACCAGCTCGGCGATGCTATTGTTGATCAGCCAGTCAGAGCTCATGGCCTTCTCCAGGCTGCCTTCACACCGGGGGGAGGGCAGCCGTCACGTGACGTACAAAGGTGACAATGTCCACATACGGCGACAGCTTTGCGCTCCCGATGACGCTGCCCCCGGCGAGATTGTCGGCCGCCGGCTCTCTGTCGCGCTTCCGCAAATGTCGTTCGGCCGCACGCGAGACGTCAGACATCGTCGTGCGCAACAGCAGGCAGTGCAGCACCACAAGCACCCCCCCCCCCCCGCCGAAAGCTGCTTCAACGCGCATGCACGCACGGTGAGCTGAAGTATCGATCGTGATACTATGAACGAATCGTGATGCGTCGTCCCACCCCAAGAGTGCACTATTAATGATTGGCCTTGGCATGAACTGTTTAGTGCGAGGCTGAGAGCAGTGTGGGAATTGATGTGGCGGAGGGGAGGAGGAGGGGGGTTGATCGGCAAAGTTGATTTCACTACGTGGGCCATGAATTGATATTGATGACCGCTTCTGAACTTGCAAGGCCATCCCTAATGGTGTAAGAGTGCAGCAGGAGGAGATGTGTGTACAGTACGTACGTATGTGTTAACTTCTTTTGCACCGTACGTAGCCAATTGTGCTAATTGGAGGTGCGGGCGAAGGACCGCATGAGATGGTGAAGTCTTGCCGTGGGATGCTCTGATGCGATGTTTGGTAACGATCAGCTGGGGAATGAGACATCATCACCTGCTCTCCGTGTCGCCGCTGCACTTGGGCGACATCAGCTCGAAGGTTTTGCTGAACTTGACAACCTGCAGAGATGCAACGGGCATTCAACCATGTTTTTTCTTCTTCTAGGACTACAATTCGGACAGAAATAGTTTTGAATCGTCAAGTGGCTTAATACACAACAACAACAACCGCCATTCGCCACTAAGTGGCGGTCACGTCACCACAGCACTTTATGCCAGGCTATGTGCACTTTGAGGCCACGTGCAGTGCCGAACGCTCGCTGACAGGAGATCATGGGACAGACCCAGGTGCCATGGATTGACTGACCAAGATGACTGGCAGATGCATCACCTGTGTGCTTGTCAAAATATGACAAATACTTCGAGCCAATTAGGACTGTAATTCACAAATAAATAATTTGCCTACTCTTATTATTAAGGAATAAATGCCCGTAAAATACCATGGTGTTATGACATACGTGGACTAACTGCCTCTCTCCATGCACGCTGGGATGGTGATAGTGCAAAGTCAATTTCATGCATGCCATCAAACTATTGCTCTATTCCATACACAACCCATGTTTTTTTTAATGTACATAACCCCTTTCCCATTCGGAGACGTCTGCAAGTTACAGGGTGGGTTGCGTTCACCGCTGAATCTCGGATCGCGCAAACGGTTGAGCGTTAATTTTATTGAGACATTGCACTCGCCGCAAAGAACCGTAGCGACACGATCGCACTCTACAATGGCTGGCGCCAAACTGTGCCACATGCCCTCCCGCATGGCCTTTTACTTATGTTCCTGGTCCAACGACGTATGTGAATAACTAATGACGTAAATGTACGTTACATAATTGGAAATTGAAAAGGGATCATTATCTTCACAATGTCACGATCGCCGCATGTGTTATTGGGACGATATCAGAACATTTGACCGTGAGGTTGCCCAATTTGCGGAGGCACCTGCTCACCGGCGACTCGATGTCCTCCAGCAGAAGCACGGAGCAGCACTCGCACTTCAGCAAGGCCTGGGCGCGGTGCATGATCTTGCGGACAACCTTCTCCAGGTGTGTCTGCTCCTCGAACAGGTCATTGACCACCTCCAGAAGGGCCTAGAAGTAATTCCACGTAGCAGCCCCCCCACTCCCGAATGACACTTTGTCACTTACATCATTCACCCAGCCTTATAGCACAAAGGACTGGCCAGGTGGCACCGGTGTTGAGAGCAACTGACTCATCATGGGAAAGTTACACTTTCAAAAAATGTGGTTCAGTTGGTCGCCTCGGCCTACCGTCACTTTGGAGTTCGATTAATGATTTATAATAAAAGGGCCTTTGTCCAATCTGCTGCCGAATGAAGGCCTCCCCATGATGTGTCGGTCAAGAGGATTGTTTGGCTATACTTCACCATTCTGGTCAGTGCGTGTTTGTGAAGGGGGGCCCAGGAGCAGTTCCAATACCACTCGCCACTCATGTAATCCATCGCCGGGAATCAAACTCATGCGACAACACTGCTCCTCCAACAGCATTTAAGGTGTCAGCGTAATGAGTTTCCCTTTGTGGAGAGTAACATTCGTAGTGGTGTGGACAGACTAGGTCTTGTCATGGAAATATGGAATTGTATTCTCACTGGCTCCAAGCTGCTAATGCTCATTTGCGCAGAGGGAATACTTTGACTTGAAACCATAAACATGCAGGGAAATAAATTCCCCTTCTCAGATTAGTGTACGGCGCCAAATAAGTTCAACATACATGCAACATACATGCATACATAAAAACAGAAGGCAGAGACATCGCTTTTCAACAATCAGCGTTTACAAATTGAAAACATGGCTCGAGAGTTGTTCTGCCCCATGACAGATATGGGGGTGTTGATTACACAGGAACTTCCTGATATCGTGTTGAGTTTGGTCACGTGACCAGAACGTTACGATTTAACATTCTCTAAGCCATGAGGCTGGGTATCAGCCATTACACAGAGTACAAAATGGAGGCACAAATAGCGTCTCAGTGAAGACAGGTGCATCTGTTCATTGTGGGACTTTAAAGAGCATTGTCTGTAAGTTCGTTTACATTCTAATAAGACTGGGAATGCTGTTATAATGTTGGGATTGCCGTTATAATGCTGTAAATGCCTTTATAATGCTGTTAAATTGTTATGATAAATATGAGGCCTAGTTAACAACGAAGCCTGCCACTTGCATTATTGTGAATGTTACTTGTAATTGAATAAGTCGAGTCAGACTTGTACCCATGTAACTTTAATGTGATCTTGAGAGCAAGGATGAAGAAGTATCTCATCCATAGTTCAGTGTTATGTGCAGCGCTGTGCATTTAGTCTGCAGTATGGTGATTACACAAAGTGACCTTATTTAACACAGTAGCTTGTTCTCTTGTATAGTTATTCAGTGCTAATGGAGGTGCCTGGTCCATCCAATACCTATTGAGTTTCATGTTATCTAAGACAATGTTATAATGCTGCAGTGTTCATTGTGAAGTGGAGTACGAAGGTGCGTTGTGGAAACAGCGTGATTACATGATCACACAGTACGGGTTATCTTGGGTCAGCCTGTAGTGAAGGCAAATACAGTGCAGGTTATGTTGGGGCAATTAAGCTGGGGTAACCGTGGACGGCTGTGATTGGTTGGTGCTGTTGCTGGGGCTGGAGAGGCGTCTGGAAGTCTGAGGAGAAACAGGTGCGACGGTCACGCTGAGCGCCGTTGGGACGCGGGTTAATTAATTGGGGGTGTAATGAGAGCGGGTACAAGAGTGGGAGTCGGAGTCAACAGAGGGGGTTGAGTTGAAGGAGGTGAGCTTGGAGATGGGTTGAAGTTGAAGAGCTTAAGGGAGCTGGAGTGAAGAGTTGGAGTTGGGAGCTGGACGAGGCAAGACGTGGAGTTTGGAGAAGAGTTTGGAGACAGAATTGGAAACAGAGTTTGGAGACAGAATTGGAAATAGAGTTTGGAGACAGAATTGGAAACAGAGTTTGGAGACAGAGTTGGAGACGGAGTTTGGAAACAGAGTGTGGAGCGAAGCTGAAGAAGAGAAGCAGCTAGCAGTAGAGAGAGCGTAACGATAGCGGAGCTGAAGACCCTGTGTGCGAAGTCGCTGTGTGCGAAGACGCTGTGTGCGGAGTTGCTGAGTGCGGAGTCGCTGAGTGCGGAGTCGCTGAGTGCGGAGGAAGCGAAGTAATTGTGGGGAGTGGAGAGACAAAGGTGGCGGGCGAGTCGAGTGAAGCATGGCGAGCGAGCCGTGGCGACTAGGATACTGTGGAATGTGGAGGACATGCTGAGAGTTGTAAATAAAGCGGTGTTCGAAGAAAGACAGAAGTTGTCCGAGTGAAATCTAACACTACAATTGTATTGATATTCCAAGTATTAACAGATGCTGTATTTTGTGCTGTGTTTTTCCATCAGTTTTGCCTCATTAAATTCATTAAATACGTTGGAGTCGGATGTTCACCCTGGCTCTGAAAGTTTATTGAATGCGCGGTTAACTACTCAGATAGTGGTGCAACGCAGCGCACAGTGAGGCCGAGACAAGAGTCAATTGGGATTAAAGGCCCCTTTCGTGAGAAGGAAAACTAACAAAAATATGGTAAAAATGTCATGACCGAAAAATTATTCCATGGAATGTTAAAACTTACAGTGTAAAACGACAAAATCCACACGAAAATATGTTGCGCCAAATATAAAACATGCCTGCTCTGCTTACAATCACACACAGAACACGGCAGCAGCTACATATATGGGCAGTTTCTATCGGCAGGCATAACCACGGCAAATACATAGTTGTTTTTTAATTAAAAGAAACGCCCAGTTATTACATTTTAACAACTCAAGGAATACATTTAGACCTGCTACATTGCGTGGGCGGAAGTGTGACTCTTGGTGTCTCGTAAAAGTGGGTCGATGCCATCTAGAATCAGGCGTTAGTGACGCCAGTATATTTTAAGGCGTTAGTGACGCCAGTATATATTTTCAGGCATTAGTGATGCCAGTATAATTTAAGGCGTTAGTAATGCCGGTAGATTTTTTTTATGTGTTAGTGACACCAGTATATTTTAAGGTTTGAGTGACGCAAAAAAATAATCGCTCACTGGAGAGAAGACCAGAGAGGAAGTGACCAAATAATTCGTCAAAAACACTGGCCCCCAATAGAAAAAAATTAATAAGCGACGTTTTGGGCATTGACCCTGTATTTAATCTTTCAGGGCAGTGTTGTTGACAAATGTGATGAGTGTTTTTTGCGTGTTGTCGTTAACTGCGTTTGTGCCGCCACTGTCAACACAGCAGCATTACCACAAACTTTATTTAATGTTGTAAGAGCAAGTGAGCTCTCCTGGGGGACAAAGAGGCAGTTAATTGAAACTATAAATAAATCATTTTATTTTACCAGGTAAGGCCCACTGAGCAATGTAGCTCTGTTTCAAAAGTGACCTGGCCACAAATGATAGCTCAACGAAGTGGCTTATCATGTAGAAATATATAGCAAAATACTCTAAACGGGTGTTTATTCTAAATGTGGATGGAAAAACTGGACGACCCGGAGAAAAATCCACCTGCCCACAGAGAGAATATGCAAACTCCAAATATAGAGCAGGAGTCAGGGTCGGGATCGAACTCACCACCTCCTGTATACCAGGTGAGGTATTTAACATCTCACCACCGTGGATTGATTGGCAATGAGCTGTTTTTTTTTAATTGGGAGCTCTGGACGTTCCCAGGGATTAAACAAAACATTGATCCGCATCTGATCGGGCAGCTTTAGAAGCGTACCACACAAATCCATCATTGAGATTCCAAGGGGTTAAGGCGCAGATAAATTGTCCTTTGAGGTTCACTCAAGTCCCATGGAATTTTTTGTAAACAATGAGCGGCGCGTGATCCAAAAGTGGTGGTGGGCGGGGGGGAGGGCGATCATTTTCAACCATGGACACGTAGTACGGCCGGATATCCCCGTCGTCTTGGCCTCTTTATCTCTGCCTCTCTCGTTCTCTCTCTGGGGGTGGGTGCATGCGTAGATCGCGTGGAGTGGGTCGAGAGCTGCTCACCCGACTGCGGTCGTATTCCTTGCGGGACGCGGCGAACAGCTGAGCGTTGGCGATGCCGATCCCGCAGAAGGGCAGGTACATCTGCAGCACCTGCGTGGACAAATCATGCGCCGCGATTTTGGTGAGCGGCCTGTTTAACACACCGAATGGGACAAAACAAAACAAATCTCACTTGCTCTACTGTATTGATAAGGCAAATATTCCCCAGTATAGCCTTCACAGACCTTTTTTTTTATCGGTGGGCAAGTGCTGTTGGCACGTGGCAGCGATGAAAGCCGGAACGGCACACGAGAAGGGGTGGGTGGCCTGCTACCACGCCTGGCTGCCCTTGTCAAGGGCCGGTTCAGATCATCGTCACTGACGTCGGTAGCTGTGAGCGGGAATCGAACTCAGGTCGCCGGGTTCGTTGCGCTGCGATATAACTGCGCCACCGCTTGCTGTATAATCATGATCATCAGCAGCTGGGACGATCTTTCCACTGCTCGATAAGCAACATCATCCATAAGCCGTGAAACCATCTCACGCACTTTTACGATTAAACAATCCATCGGGCTCCTGCGCACGACATAATCTCATCGGCTGCCATATCAGCGTCAGATGATGTTGACATAACACGATAATAGGGATTAGTTTAGTACACACAATTGAATGGATGTACAATGTGCTTGCAAGTTGATATTTACGTGCGAAATGTCGTACTCAGATTGCAAATGTTGTGGCTTTGCTCTCCAACACACTGGTATTGCTGTACTAGTGTTGTGTCGTAACTATTGACACCCAGGAGACTTGTAAAGGAAGACGGAGACGAGGATTGCTACATAGCGCTGCTTTCCATTTATTCACAACTGTTACACACTCTTATACACTCTGTTGCCACTCTCTACACTCGACGCTTACACACGTCAGAACTCTGTCCTTTACGCGGACATCCCTCAGCTATCTCAGCCCCGGTACGGCTTCCCCTATGTCCATCACCTCGTCTGCCCCGGGCGGGGGCTCACCCATCACCGCCCGGCGACGAGGTGAGACCTCTACATCTCTAACCCCTCGATGACATGACGTCATCACATCACGTATTCCCTCTACAGATGACATGATGTCATCCAACTACTCCTCGACACTAGTAACGAATTTGCACGTTCTGTTTACGTGACAAATCATATTAATTGGATGTGTCGGGCGGTGGCGGGTTTAACGACACATTTATATATTTACGCGATCTAACCCAAAAAAAACCCTCTATCATGGATGATAGCGGTCGCGAAAGCCTCCTACTACGTTTTAAAACAACAAGATAACCCGAAACGAAGTCAGGCAACAGCCCTTCCGTCACAGCACAAAGAGAATCCAAAGGTGCAGGCGGCCAGGGACGTCGAAAATAGGCGACGTGTCGGGCAATGCCCCTCTGCCTCTGGATATCTTGACCTCTCTGGCCTCTCCACGTGCACTGAAGAAGGGTGACTGCCCGAAACATCGCCTATATTTTTGTTTTATTTCTAGTGCAGTGCTATTGACGGGTGTACCACAGTGATTTGTGTTTGTTCTTGGCTGTGGGTATGCATCACTGCCAATGCAGCAGCAGCAGCGGCGGCGGTAGCACAGCCTGAAGACTGCGTGTGGTTAGATTCAGCGTTAGCTGATGCTCAAGTCGGGTGGCGCGTTGCGCTGCTTTACTGAAGGCTGACGACGGCACGCAACATTGTTCAATGAGGGTGATCAATAAGGGGAACCAGTTCAGCTGTGTTCGCATTGATTCATGCCTAAGCATTGTCTCTGCACGCGTTTCTTGGACGGCGCCAATCGCTGCAACCCCCCCCCTCCCCACGGCCTTTTGACCAAATCGCCTGGAATGTGCACGAAGACTCTAGCTTGGACAGCTAGCACACATCGATGGGCCACCCAAAATGCAAAAAACACAGGCGTTATAGGCTGTTGCGAGGCTACGGTGCGGTCAGCGGTGCTGCAAGACTCCATTGTTATACGCTCCCCGTTGTATTCTCCCCGACATTGTCAATTCACACTGACCGGCGTGGTGAAGTATGTTGTTCAAATTAACCCCACCACGCGAACATCGTGGGTAGGCCCTCGTCCTGCAGTGGATATACAGAGGGCGTTATGGCAATGCTGTGTATATATACGTGCATGATATTCTACTGCTAGCAATAATGCACAAGTGCAGACAACAAAAACAAATTCGTAGCATACGTGCTATGAAGAAAGGACCATCGCTAACAGCGTCGCCTGTTCTATATATACTTTTTGTATGAGCTATGTTTTTATTTCTTTTTTTTTACCAGCTAAAGCCTACTGAGCTGTATAGCTCTTTTCTCAGAATTGACCTGGCCACAAATGATAGCTCAACAAAGTGGCTTATGACGTGGAACTTTAGAGCAGTAGCCATTTACTCTGAACGCACGATGTTCATTATAAATGTGGAGGGGGAAAAGCGGAGGACCCCGAGAAAAATCCATGCGACCACGGGGAGAGTGAGCATGCAGACTCCAAATATACAACAGGCGTCATGGTCGGGATCGAACCCACGACCTCCTACACACCAGGCGAAGTAATCAACATCTCGCCACCGTGCCGCCCCTTTTTTATTTTAAGACCCCAGTCTCGTTGACGGGTGCGTTTCGTTGTTTTTGTTTGTTGTTGCAGACCACAGATAGACAGCGAGCTTTATTTGGTACAGCAGGCGATTGCCCGTCGAGAGCAAACACCTCTTTGTCAATGGGCGGGGGGTGAGATCTGTACCAAAATAAACGCCGAGGGACATGCACAACGGGCGGCGATCCCTGCCTCTGCCACCGCAAACATCACCTGTGCGCCAACGGTGTCGCCGGGGCTCCAAGCGGCTAACCGGCAGAACCTCGTGACTGATGTCCGTGCTGGGGAAATAAAATCCCCCCCCCCCCCAAAAAAAAAAGAAATCTCAAAGCCAGAGGGGAAAACGTGGACTTTATTGCATCCATTGCTCACCGGCGTGCACACTAAGCGAGCTGGTAATTGGAGGAGTCCCCTGCTCTGATCGGTGCTGAGTGGCCCAAATAAAAGAGCCGCCTCATCCGTGAGGGAGCCTCCGGTGGCCGGAGACGAATCAAAGGGGTCAGGTCGCCGGGGCCATGGATTTCTGTCGATGCCGCCCAGGGAAATTAAACCGGGGCGTGCGAGCGGTGCGCCGCACGCGTCTGGTGGGCGGGGGATGTGTGCGACTGGAACGATTGCGCGGTGCTGAGATCGGAGAGGGGGGTGGCTAGGGCACGGGGCGGGGGGGGGCTATTCTGATACCAGAACAGTCTTAAATACCTGAGCCCAGAATGGCAATGACCTGGCCAAGCCCCCTTCCCCCAAAGAAAATCCCCCCCCCCCCCGCCTGCTCTATGAGTCCAGTGTGCCTGATACCGTCGATGTAACTGGTAATGCCGTCCAAAACGTCAGGATGTTGCAATGCATGATGTGAGGGAGGATGTGGAATCAACATATAAAAAGAGAGTTTAGGAATTTCCAAAACTTTATTTGGATAAGCACGGTGGAAATGTTCCACTGTTGTTGTGCCTTTATTTTACCCACGACAAAGGTCACGTGTCACACGTTGGTCATCATTAATAACAGAGGTCATCGGTTCCTTCCGGTCTGAATAAAGACCCCATTCGACTCACGTCAGCACATTGACAATTCCTCAAGCGAAATGTGCGACTGACAGACTGACTAACCCACTGAAAATGTGTGTTTCCGTATCGTGCAGACATGGTTAGACACGAGTACGTGGACTATGCCATGGATACGCGAGCCCCAGCCATAGCAATGTGTAATTTACATTACTGTCTTGGGGCTTCTAAGCAATTGGAGTGCACCAGCCACATTGACTCGAGCGGGGACACATAAAGGCCCGGCCGCCTTTGTCTCCCCAGGTACTCATTTGCGACTGAGTCGACCTAGCTGAGGCGCAGAATCATTTAGCGTAACTAGCGTGGGGGCAGGGGGTGTGCCTTGCCCCCCTCTACCAAAGCTACGAGTTGGGGCCCTCTTGACAACCAACATTATTAACCGCCGTGAGAAATGTTTTCAACAGTGTTGGGGCCCCCACCTGACCGATTGCCGCAACCCCTTGAGCTGATAATGTAGTTACTACGCCACTGCCCAGAAGCGGTTCAGATAATCGTCACTGGTGTTGGTGGCCGTGAGCGGGAATCTAAACTCAGGTAGCCAGGTTCGTAGCGCAGCATACACTGTCACCGCTACCTCCTTCCTGCACATTGACGTTGAATTGATTTGAAACTGAATCCCGGTCGAGTTCGTGCAATCTTTAGCCCAGATAGTGCAACGATATAAGTTTTTTTTTTGCTGCACGGCCCACCTGCTGCTCCCAACGCAGCTCCAGATGGAAGGTGTTGAGCGGTTATTTACATTTTCGCCGTTCTGGAATTATCAACACTATTTAAATTATATATATAAAAAACACACGATGAATCATTGAACAATTGCCCATTAAGAGCGTTTTAGTAAGGTGCCATTAAGGCGGCGATTGCAAACTGGCAAATGCGTTTGATTTTCAATTGCGACCATGGCTGGGAGCGAGAGCGCCTGAGCACCACGCGACTGGCTGGCTCTCGCCCGCAAGCCATCACTGGGGAGCGTTTAGAGACCGAGGCATTGCCTATCGATCGCCTACTTACACTGCTCAACACCTAGTAGTAGTGAGTAGCAGTAGTAAACTTTTGCTGCAAACAACTCACTTATTTTCCCTAGCTTCAACCCCACGACTCCCTTAATATCCCCCGCATAACCGCCACCCGTTACTGTTTACCTCTTCACATTGTCATTTTTGGCTTTCACTCATTAACCCCACTCATTAAATCCATTCATCGTCATTTATTGTTAACAAACTCTGGGATAAGAAGGCTCAGCTAATCGAGTCTCTCACCTTTCTAAAGAGATGCCGCGACTCTAAGGTAATACCAACCGCATTTACACTAACTTCTGCTGCTGTAACTTCTAATGCAATACGAATTCTATCTAGAACTAGCTTAGCTCTTAAATGTGTCGTATTTATTACGACACATTTATAAATAACGCGATCTAACCCAAAA